TATGAATGTGCATAGCCTGCTCTAAGCATTAAGCACAGTATACTGTGGATTCCACCGAATGCTGGATGAAGTAGAAACAGAGTCAAGACTGCTTCTATAACTTGCAAGACTACTTTTTCGATGGGGCTTGAAGGATGAATAGGAGTTATTTTTCCAGGAGCTACACACAAGGCTAAGGGAAAGCCTGACAGTGTGAGCATTTGGAGTTTATAAGGATAGAGGAGAAAGAGATAGTAGAAATGATTTAGTCTACGGCCATACCACCCTGAATGCACCCAATCTCGTCTGATCTTGGAGGCTAAGCAGGGTTGGGCCCAGTTAGTACTTGGATGGGAGAAATGATTTAAAGGTTCTGTAATTGGGTAACTTGCAGGATGATGTGATCTGATAAGAAGAAAAATCGGAGGAAGGAGGCAGTGGGTGGGGGTTGAGGACAAGTCCCATTTGGGACATGTGGTTTGAGGTAATGGTGAAACACAGCCAGCTTACAGTTGGAAAGCCGTTTTAGAAAATTTGGCACAAAGGCTCAGAATTCAAATTTAAACTACATTTTCCGAGTTTTACCACTGGGAAAAGGGGAAATGTATATTTATTTTGTAGAGAAGTTGATGATGCAACTTTGACTTGTGATAGCTGGAGCAGTGAGATTAAAAATAGCACTGAACATACAGAAAATGAAGTCATCAGATTCAAAACTAGCAGCAGTTATGCATTTGGCACAAAACCTTGTTCCCGTTTATGCCACATGCTGCTCTCAGCATCTACTTTATCTTTCCAGCTCTGTTACCTCTTGCCTGTGAGTCTTGGACCTGGTCACTAGGAGACAGAGCCAGGGTTCACTCATCTCTAAAAAAGTGAGTAGCAGAGAAGTGTCAGCTTTTACCTTCTGCATGAGACTCTTCAGAGCAAACAGAGGTGTCCATCTCTGTCATCCAGGTCTAGTTACATCTTTTGGGGTCTATAATTCCATAATGGAAACAGAATCTATCTGAAAAATTTAACTCAAACCCTTGTTAAATCTTCCAGTGCTTAATGTCAGCATTGTCACATCCTCAGCTGTCTGATTCTAAAGACTGGGGAACTCTGTGACTGCCTTGTGTATATTGACTTACTGGGGTAACTCACAGGTATGGGGCACATTTGGGTTGATCTTTATCTTCTGTGGTCCTCTTAAAGAAGTCAGCATTATTTTTGCACAAATTTGTGGGGTACATGTGCAATTTTGTTACCTGCATAGATTGCATAGTGGACAAGTCTGGGCTTTTAGGGTATCCATCACCCAAATAACATACATTGTACCCATTCACCAATTTCTCGTCATCCTTTTCCCTCCCCACCACTCACCCTTCAGAGCCTGCATTATCTGTCATTCCACTCTCTGTGTTCATGTGAACATAGTTTTCAGCACCCACTTAACGAGTGAGAATATCTGATATTTGCCTTTCTCTGCCTGGCTTGTTTCACTTAAGAGAATGACCTCCAGTTCCGTCCATGATGCTACAAAAGACATGATTTCATTTTTATAGCTGAATAGTGTTCCATATACCACATTTTCTTTATCCATTCATCCTCTGATGGATACTTCCGTTGATTCCATATCTTTGCTATTGTGAATAGTGCTGCCATATACATATGAGTACTGGTATCTTTTTAATATATCCATTTCTTTTCCTTTGGGTAGCTACTCAGTAGTGAGATGGCTAGATCAAATAGTAGCTCCATACTATTTTCCATAGAGGCTGTACTAATTTACATTCCTACCAACAGTGTATAAGTGTTCCCTTTTCTTTTTTTTTTGAGACAGAGTCTCACTTTTTGCCCAGGCTAGAGTGAGTGCCGTGGCATCAGCCAAGCTCACAGCAACCTCAAACTCCTGGGCTCAAGCGATCCTCCTGCCTCAGCCTCCCAAGTGGCTGGGACTACAGGCATGCACCACCATGCCTGGCTAATTTTTTCCATATATATTAGTTAGCCAATTAATTTATTATTTATAGTAGAGACAGGGTCTCACTCTTGCTCAGCGCTGGTTTCAAACTCCTGATCTCGAGCAACCGCCGGCTTGCCTCCCAGAGTGCTAGGATTACAGGCGTGAGCCACCGCGCCCAGCCTAAGTGTTCCCTTTTCTCCACATCCTTGCCAACATCTGTTATCTTGGGGTTGTTTTTTTTTTTTTTTTTTGCTTTTTATTTTAGAGACAGAGTCTCATTCTGTCACCCATGTCACTCAGGCTGGAGTGGTGTGATCATAGCTCACTGTAACCATGAACTCCTGGGCGAACGTGATCCTCTTGCCTCAGCCTCCTGAGTAGGTAGGACTATACACCTGCTAATTTTTTTTTTTTTTTTTTTGTAGAGACAAGGTCTCACTGTGTTGCCCACACTGATCTCAAACTCCTGGCCTCAAGTGATCCTCCTGCCTCAGCCTCTTAAAGTACTAGGGTTACAGGCATGAGCCACCATGTCTGACCTAATTCCAGAATTTTTGTTTGTTGTTTTTCCTTAATATCTATCTCCTTGGTAAAATTCTCATTCATATCCTGAATTGTTTTTCTAAGTTTTTTATATTGGTTTTCAGATTTCTCTTACATCTCATTGAGCTTCTTTAAAGTCAGTATTTTGAATTCTTTATCTAGAGTTTCAAGAATTTTTTTTTTGTTTAAGCTCTATTGCTGGAGAATTATAGTGTTCCTTTGGGAGTGTCATGTTCTCTTGCTTTTTCATGTTTCCTATGTATTTATGTTGATATTTGGATATCTGGTATAACAGTTGCTTCTTTATAGTTTTGAATTTATTTTTTGGTGGGGGGGACTTTTTTCTGAAGATGTGTCTGTGATGTTGGTTGGGTAGGGCCCTTTGGCTTTGCTTTTGGATGCATGCAGTAGTGAAGTCTCTGTATGATTTCTCTGAATATAAACAGCGTTAGTGGTATCTGTGGTTTCCCCAGTGTATTATGTTGCAGTTATTGGAGGAGACTGTGGTGAAGTTGTGCTGGCGACTAGAATGTCAGATAGGCCCATCTTCAGGCTTCAGTGGTAGTAGCGATGGGCTAAGCATGCCTATCCTTGTGACCTGGGGTGGCGCATGCTGATTGGTGGTTCCAGGTGATTCTGAGCAGGCTGATTCTTGGGCCTTGGAGTAGCTTTCTTGGATACCAATTGTGGTAGTGGCAGACGGGGTGGGTGAGTGGGCTTTTGAGCCCCTGGGCAGCAGGCATGGCATAGACGATGGTGGTGGCAGTTGTGAGATGCTTTTCTGGGTCCCAAGTGCTGTGCACTTGTGTGGGCAATGGTTGCATTAGGCTGTGCAGGCCAACCTTTAGGCCAGCAGGTGGCACTTGCAGGTAGGAGCCAACTGAGATGTTGGCAGTAGGGTGTTTAAGCCCAACCTCAATCCTCCTGGAGGAGTGCTTGGGTGTCCCATGTGGTGGATTTTGTCGTGCAATCCCCAGGACCCCAGACCCCACTCTCTGTCTCAGGTGGAGTGAAGCTGAGTGAAGCTGGACTGGGCAGGCTTATGCTCAGGCCCCTCAGTGGTGAGTGCACACACCAGCTGTGTGTGTGCAGGGGCAGGGCCATCTACAGGCTCCTGGCAGAATGTTCAGGTGAGGGGAGGCAGCCAGCACATGGAAGTCCTGCCACGGTGGGGCTACCCCATTGGCCACAGGCCTTGGTAGGCAGGTTGAGGATATGTGTCCCCAGTCCCAGTGGTGCTTACTCCCCAGTCCTGTCTGTCACAGCCAACCCAGCTGACCCATAAGACCCAGCAGTCCACACCTAGCCTGCAACTCAGCCCCAGGCCAGAGGAGCCCCCACCCACTAAAGACCAAGCCTCCACAGCAGTTCGCATCCCACTTAATTCCTGGGGCCAGCACCTGCTTCCCAGCACTGGCCACCACAGCCCATGCCACTCTCACTTCTCAGTCCTGGCTTTGGGAGCCCACCCTTATTTATGCCCCAGTTCTGCAAACAACAGCCTGAGTTTTCCTAACACCTAGGACTGGCACAGCTGGGTCCCAGGACAGCACAGCCTGTTGAAAGCTAGGATTGTGGCTGGGCACAGCAGCTCACACCTATAATCCTAGCACTTTGGCAGGCTAAGGTAGGAGGATTACTTGAGGACAAATTTCAAGACCAGCTTGGGCAACATAGCAAGACCCCATCTCTACAGAAAACAGAATAATTAGCTGGACATGGTGGCATGCGCTTGTTGTCCCAGCTACTTGAGATGCTGAGGTGGGAGGATTGTTTTAGTCCAGGAGTTCAAGGTTGCAGTGAGCTATGCTTGCACCACTGTACTCTGGCCAAAGCAACGTAGTGAGACCCTATCTCTAAAAAAATAATAAAAATAAGATAAAATAAAAATAATTAAATAAAAGCTAGGATTATAACTGGCATCTGGCTGTAATCTCATATGTTTGAGAAAGAACATGGTACCCAGGGCAGGTTCCCTCCCTGAAGCAGTTCCTTCTCATTGTCTCCCGGCTATGCCCTAAGTTAAATTCAGGCCGTGGGAGGGCCAAGGTGCTCTCCTGTGGCCTGGACTGTATGATTCCTCAGTGGGAATGTGGACTGCAGAAAGACTCTCTCACCCTCTCCCCTATTGGGAAGTCACTCCTAGCTCCCAGCTGGTCCTGGCCAAACAGGCTACCTACTTCCTTTCTCCTTCTTAGTTTTTGGTGTTTTCTTTTGGTTTTTCTGTAGAATTCCCATGTTCCCTCTTGGATAATGTATTCAACGTATGATTTTCTGTGGTTCTTCCAAGTGGATGAGCCATACATGAAATACTTCTAGTCAGCCACATTTACCAGTTTATTATAAAGGATATCACAGAGGATACAGAGGAAGGGACACACAGCACAGGGCGAGGTATGAGGAAAGGAGCATGCAGCTTCCATACCCTTCTGGGCGCACCAACCTCCAGGCACCTCCACGTGTTTAGCTACCCGAAGCTCTCCAAACTGAAGTCAGCATTTGATATCCTTTCTATTTCTGCTTTTTGAAGGTTTTCATGCCAGAGTCCAACGGAGAACTGAAGAACACTGGCTACATACAGAAGCTGGAAGATACCCACCTCCTGGCAGGAGCATTATTTCATTTGAAATTCCAAGTTTACAGAGGATCATTTCTCGAAAGTTGGGAAAACCTATAGGTAAGGTTGGGTGTACATTTTACTTATCCCTTTAGATTACTTCAAACTGAAATGATCTGGTATGTCCAGAGGAAGGGGTGGGTCAGAGGTTGTCTAAGCAGATCATGGTTTTCAGTATTCAGTTGCACAGCTAGGCTGGCATGCCTAAGACAGTTACTTGGTAAGGAGGAACACATTTCTTCCAAAATAACATGGCAGAGGGCCATAAGGAAAACCATGCAGTAAGTAAAACGTATTTATTTACTTTAATTATAAAAGTAAAACAACCACATTGTAACAAAATGGAATAAAATCCAACAGAAGTATAAAAAGTGAAATTCTTACATCCACCCATTTTCATTCTCCCCAAGTAACCATTGTTCATAATTTGGAATCTTTTCTGGTTTTTTAAAAAATGTATATATGACATCCATGAAGACATTTTGAAGTGTTCTGTGCTACACTCTAACCTGAGGTTTTCTCATGCCTGGCGGGTTATGAGTAATGCCTCATTTGTAGATCTGGGTCAGACAAGGGCTGAGTGGGGATGGTTCCAGTGTGACCAGTGAGTTTTTATAGTCCCATGCTGCTGTGTGTCACCCTTCTTCATCTGAAGCTCCCCTGTGGCACCGCTGCCTACCCCTGCTCCCCAACCAGCTCCCCATCCTGAGTGGTACTGCTTCTTCAATGGTTCTGCAGTTTTTATGGTTACCTGACTTTAGTTAATAAACATGTATTCATGAGTGTATATTGAGGCCCCCTGCTCTGTGCCTGGCTTCATATTAGGCAGTGGAGATGGAGAAGAATTAGACATGCCCCTCCCTTCAAGGACAGTAGTGGTCTTTGCCTCTCCAGCTTCTCCAGTCACTTGGCAGGACTAGCACCAGTACTGCCTCTGTGGCTTCTTTCCTTACTCTGTTAACACACCTCGCCTCTTTCTCTTCCTTGCTATCCCTGCCTCAGTTGCAGGCCCTCCTTGCCTTGCCCCAGACTGTTGCTGCAGCCTCACTTAGCCCTCAGTCTCTCCCCAGTCTCCAGTTTGTTGTTGCACATCACAGCCAGTTTGATGGACCTAAGGCACAGCGCCGGTTGTACCCACTCCTTCCGCATCGCCCAGAACAGTGTTTCACAAGTGTGCTCTGCAGATCCTGGGGCTCTCTGAAACCCTTTCAGGAGATCTATGGTCAACACGATTTCCATAATAGTACTAAGATGTAAAATGTTATTTGTTGTTGCAAAGCAATCGTGGGTAGAACTGCTGGTGCCTTGGTCAAGGAAGTGGCCCTGAGTGTGCTAATAGCCATTGAATTCTTCCCTGCTGTGCACTCATGGTTTTTTTTAAATGCCATTTTTGCTTCAGATTGTCCTTAATGAAGCAGCAAAAATTATTAACTTTATTGCATTTCAATCCTTGAGTACGCATCTTTTTAATATTCCTTGTGATGAAACAGAAGTGCTCATGAAGCGCTTCTGCTGCGTGCCCAAGTACAGCGCTGTCTCACGGAGCAGCGTTTATGGAATTGCTCGAACTACAAGCTGTTTCATTTGTACATGAAAGAATAACTGTTGGGTGTTGAGGCTGGAAGTTAGACAGGGAGCAGGTATGGGAGGGCCTCATAGGCCGTGTTAATGAGCTTGGGGGAACTGACCGCAGCCCGACTTTTCCAGTTTTATACGCGCCACTCCTCACTCAAATCCAGTCCTTCACTCCTGTTTGCTGTATCTTTGGCACAGTTTCTTTTCCCCTCTCATGTCCTTCCTCTCGTCATTCCTTTCACCAAGAGAAGCAGTGACGGCTCTGAAGTGTGCTTGTGATCCCAGAATCAGAACAGAGGGAGAAGATGGGCTGGAGTTGAAACCTTTTCCTCTGGGATTTACACTCCCCAGCCCCGTTTGAGGCCTCTTTGGATCCCCTGCTGGCGCCCTGGCAGGCCTCCCTGCCAGTTTCACTGCAGCTGAGTGAGACGCTGCCGTCTGCAGGATGCTGGCCAGCCTCACTCCACACAGGACTCTTGGGGACAGAACGCCGTGGCCCCGTGCAGTCTCGTAGACCGCCCTGTGAATGAGCTGATTTTACAGGCAGCTCCTTTCATCAAAAGTGTGTTAAATTTGACTCATGCTAGGCGCGGTGGCATGTGCCTGTGGTCCCAGCAACTCAGGAGGCTGAGACAGGAGGAGTGCTGAGGCCGCAGTGAGCTATGATTGTGTCTGTGAATGGCCACTGCACTCCAGCCTCAGCAACACAGCACGAGACTAGCTTCTGTTTGAGTGCACCCTTTCCTTGTCCCTACATCAGAAACCAAATCAACCAGTAGGTCAGGCAGAAGAATGTGGCCTTGTCCCTGATACCAGAACTTGCCATGAAACTGCCTGTTGGTCTTTGGTTTGTAGCTCACTTTTCATAATATGATAAAACACAAAATACAAAACAATCTCAGAGCAAGAGAATCGTCTGATAAATTAGATTTTAGACGAATAGAATATTGATAATATGGTAATAATGCCTTTGTATTTATGTAATATAGAATGGTGCTGCCCAACCTTTTGACATCACAGCACCCACCAAAAACAATACTGTTGTGCATACTTGAGTACCAGTGGGCGCAGGACCGCAGGCCTGACGGGAGAGCCGTAGCTCATCCACGGCACATCAGCAGGGAAGCGCTGTGCTCAGGTTTAGGAACTAGAGCATTTCTGGTGGTGCCTGGCTAGCTTTTACCAGCTGCCCTCTTCTGCCTCTCAGCCTTAATGTTTAAATACAGTATAATGGATAAAAGCTTGACCTATGAGCCGTGCTGTCTGGTCTTAAATCCCAGCTTTGCCACTTACTAGCCATGGGGGCAAATCACTTAGATTAAGTAAGTTAGTGCTTGTAAAGTACCGTATTTATTAGGTGTTTAGAATGTTGCCTGGCACGTGCTAAGTGCCATGGACGTGCATACGTGTGCTGTAACCACTCCTGCCACTGCTGTTGCTGCCTCAAAGACGTGAACGTTCTGGGATCAGGCTCCCAGGCCCGTCCTCCTTGCCTCCTCCTCTGCCTCACATTTCTGAATCTTGGCCACTTCCTTAAGAGTGCTTGTTACACTTCCTTCCCGTTCCTTGTTTTCTGTTCATTTTCTCAGCTTTCTGTTAGCTTTGGAGCTCTCAGCGAGCGTGTGACTAAGGGGGCAGCCGAGTCGGTCGTTATACCCTCAGCTTGCCCTCACCACCATTTCTTCTCAAGAGAGCTCCTGTGGCTGAGGAAATGGCCCTTACCTGTTGGGAAGACCTTGAGGAGAACTGTCCAGTGGCTGAGAGGAGCATGAGCTGCGGGAGCTACGTTCGCAGGGCCGGGTTGGCTGGCACAGTGGTGCTCTTAGTGGAGAAAGTGAGCGTCTTTGGCATCGCACAGCAGATGTGGGAGCCGGGGAGTTCTCCACAGGCTCTGTCCAAATTTGGAGTAGAGATCTGGTGACTTTGGTGTCAATGTGGCTCATAAGACTTTATTGAGAGATGACAGTTCTTTCAGAATGTGGGCCTGGGGGTCACCTCTGGGGCAACACTGTGGATGGGTACCTGCATGTCAGGAGCATCTGTTGCTATTGCAGTCCTGGGTGAGACTCCTCAGCCCTTCCTCCTCTGCTCTGGGAGTCCTCTGGACCCCGCCCCATGCAGGAGCCAGGTCACTTCTTGGGTCTGTATCTTTAACACTTAGGACGCCTCCAGTACAATTAGCTCTGTGGACAGGTTCTACTAGGAAACAAAAAGGCGCATCCCTCTTTTAATGGAAAAACAGGATAAACTTATGCCTAGAAATAGAAACATTTATTGTTACCGATGATAATGGGTCTGCTTGTGATCTGACTCATCAACTTGGGCGCTTGGCAGTGGCCCTCAGCAGCCCTGCCGCCCCCACAGCAGGCCTCAGCCCTGGCCCTTCCTCGGTCCCGAACTCTCTCTCCTGGGCCCTGGCCTGGCCCATCCCACTCCTCCTGCTTGCAGCAGCATAGCTGTCTCTTCCAGCTGGGTTAGCTTCCTCTCCTGCTCCACAGCACTTGGTGCTTCCCTGTCCCAGCACTTGTCCTACTGTGTTGAAATTGTCTTACATGTGAGCAGATTCAGATGCCATCAGGGCAGAGACTGTGTCTCCTCTTGTATTCTCACTGTCTCGCACTGGACCATCAGGAGGTGCCCAATAAATACAAGGTTGTTGAAAGAATAAGTCAGCGGTGCTTTCACATCTGGTTTATTATTTGATCTTCACGGCAGCCTTGTAATGTAGGCAGCCCAGGCCTTCTTACCTTGCTTTGTGTGCAAGGAAACTGATCGTCAGAGAAGCTGAGCATCCTGCTGCAGTCTGTGCAGCGGGGCAAGCCCCTGGCCCCCAGCCTCGAGTGTTCAGTGCCTTTTTTTATAGTTTTAACAAAGTATTTCCTTTTAAAAAGATAAAAATTAAGATAGCATGTGTTGTTTTTCATCATTATAAAATTAATATCTTCAGGGCACCAATGTTCCTTAAATGTTTTTTCATTGCTGAATGTTGAATTTCAATATAGCAAAATCTAGACACAATTTTAAAAGCTGTAATCAGATTCTAAATTCCAGTGCATATTAGAGCAAGATTATCATGTATTTTATTAAAAAATAAAACTTGATTTAAAAATAATAGCATAAAAATAAATTTTACTGTATATGATTTAGAGAATACTGAAAACTATAAAGAAAAAAATAAAAATAATTTCTTCATATAGAGAAAACTACCCATTGTAGATTAGAAATGACCTGTACTAGAAAAAGCAGCTTTCTGCCCTTTGAGCAGAGTTTGAATCGTAGTTAAACCGCTAACTGGGTGTAGGATAGGTTACTTAACCTACCAGCTACCTGCTCTGAGCCTGTTTCCTTACCTGAAATGTGCTAAAATACTTGCCTTTTAGTATTATTTTAAGAATTGGGGATCATGTATGCAAAATACCCAGCATGGTGCCTGGCACATAGTTGGATCTCTTTAAAAATTGTAGCAGCATTGACAGTTTTGTGTATTTCTGTCTGGTCTTTTTAGTCTATTGTGTGTTGCTATGTGTGCATACATACCTGTGCATGTGCATATGTTTTGGAAGCGCATTTATATTAAGTGTATTATTGGGTCTTACAGCAACCCTGTGAAGTGGGTAAGGAATGTGTATCTTTAAGCCTATTTTATAGATGAGGAAACTGAGACTCTAAGAGGCAGAGTAACTTGGCCTTGGTGCTCTGTCTGGTGATAGCTGAACCAGGCCTTTTACCTTGGTAAAGCTTGCTTATGCTAGCCCAGTGCCTTGCCAGTCAGCAGTGTGCCTCTTCTCCAAAGCCACTTCCACCAACGTACAGACGTGCGCACCGCCAGGCCCTGCCCAAGGGGAAGGTGAGGGCTGGGGGCAGTGGAGGTGCTGGAGCCTCCAGACCAGGAGGGGGGGTCCCCTGAAAACTGAAAAGAAGCACTCACTTCTTCCTCTAAAATAATAGACACACTGCCCAATCCTACAGCAAGGACCAGACTTCTGACTGGAAAGTTAAGGGCCTTTTGCGTCATAGGCCTTTTTTTTGAGAGGGAGTTGTCAGGGAATTGATAGGATTCCTCAGCTGAATTCCTAGAACTGAACAGCTTACTCCACGTTGTCTGCAGGGCAAAGGCATGCCCACGTTTCTTTCAGCACGTGCACTTGGTACCCGAATTACCTGAGCAACATATACTACACCTGATACTTAGTTTGTGCATCAGTTCATGTCATTTCTATTTCAGCGCCCAGTTTCTGATGGCTGATATGTGTTTGACACCGTGCCACAATTTGTAGGTAGGACAGAGATGAGCAGGGCACAGCCCTTGGGAACATGGGGGAGCACTGGAGGCCAAGTAAAACCAGGGCTCCAGTGGAGCTGATCACAGGGTGTTTGGGAGCAGAGGGTGGGGCACCAGCTGCTAGTTCTGCTCAGTCATACCCTCTGTTTGCACGGCACCTAACTGGTTTCCAAAGGGCTTGCACAAACCTTGACTCATCTGGAGTTATCGGGGAGCTGCACAGGGGCGGAGACTGTTGAGCTGGGTCTCGATGGCAGAGAAGAATTCCAAGGCCAAGGGACGTGGGTGAGCAGCCTGCTCGTGGGCCTCACGCCCTGAGGAGGCGCGTATCCAGTGAGTGCGCACGCGATGGCTTGCGGTCCCGCAGACCTGCTGGCGATAGACAAGTGTGGCCGGGCTCCAGATGGGGAACTATCAAGCCCTCGATGAGATTATGACACCACTTCCTCCCCCCACGTAGACAGGGAAGTTAGGCGTGTTTCTTTTACTTCAACATCTTCCTACATTTTTCCTTCCTAGTTTCAGAAACAACTCTCCTTCAACAAGTTCTGTTTCCGAGGAAAGTCTTAACCATTTGGCCCTTCTGGCGTACCCTCTTCCACTGAAATCCATGCAGAATAGACCAGGTACTCTATCTTTCTGTGTGTGAAACCGTAAAATCTAATATCGAGTGTGTGGCGGTGCTCAGAGGTATGCCTCTTGCACAGGAGGCTCCCTCAGCCCTGCTGTGGTAAAAGCCAAGTATAAATTGTCGCTAACAGGGTTTTCTAGTTAGAGTCGTAAGTGTGTCTGAGCATCCCCTGTGAATTGTAACGCTGCCGGCTCCCGTGCTGCTCCTCTGTGCTGCCTGCCTCGTGGCTGTTTTGCTTGTCCTTAGGCCTCCATCAGAGTGTGGACGGGGGAAGGAGAGAGAGCTGAAACCCAAATCTGTCTGCTCTGCACTCGGCTTGCAGGGCTCATGAGAAAATAGGTGGTGACAAGGGTCGCCAGTGGACTGCACACAAGGTCGGGGCAAGGGGAGCACCGGTCGCTGCTTTTCAGCTCGCAGCCTCTGTGGCCAGCGCCCCCTCCCTGAGTGCCTGAAGATGAGTGACCCTGTGTTTTATTTCGGTAGAATTTCTCACTGTGTTCCGTAAATGCATCTGTGCAGCTTTTTTCCTTTCAATTTACCTTGGCGAGGGTGGCTGTTCTGATGCTTAAGTGCTGATGGTTAAGTGTAATTCTTTGAATTCATAGGGTGTTGCAGTCCTCAGATGTTTCGTGTGCTTAAAGCTGTTGGCTAGAGTAATATTTTGAGATCCTCTGTGGATTCCTTTCATCTGTGTGTTTATCTGTTCTCTATTCTAAAGTATTTTTGAAAATCCACTGTCATCGGGTCCCCAAAATGGAAGGAAGACGGTGGCTAAATGGAGCTGGCAGACATGTGGCTGCTTACCCGTGCTTTCTGGATCGGGCCATTGGAAAGTGCCCTTCTGTGTGCTTTCTGCTAATGGCTGTTTGTACTCGCCTCTGAACAGCATACGAACGTGCATCAGCACTAATCAATCTTCCTGGCAGACTTGCCATTTCTCTGGTCATGTTAATCCAGATCCTCTGAGAAGAGAGTGGGCCTTTCCCTTCAGCAGGCAAAGAGCCAGCTTCCATTTTAAAATCTCTCAGAAAAAAAGGAAAAATACCCAACAACCCAGAGCCTGTGTTTATTGAAGGTTGGTCTAAAAGTCTCTCACATCGTATGCCCCATCAGCACTCGAGTGCCTCTATTTTAGAAGGATGTAAAGGTTTAATCACCCTGGTGGGGATTTAGACCCAGAAATTTCAGAGAAATCTTATTATTTCTAACTGCAGGCAAAGAGTATTAAGGCTCCACTCTGGATCAGGGGCATGACATGTTCTATAAGTAATTTATCTTTAACAGGGGAAGGCCCATGCTGGAGTGTCTTAGAAACAGGACGATGATTGGGCACTGGCTCACTGTACCTCCTTTTCTCCTTCCCTGTCTCCGTGTCCTGCTTATTCTTTCTGTCCTGACCCATCTGTCCAATGTCTGAATGCCTGCCTCACAAATCCTCCCTTTAAGATGGGGAGCCAGGTGCTTGCCAGCGAGAGATAATAATGTTTTTGCAGTAAGTGACCTCATCCAGCAGCCTGGTGTAGAACTGTCAGCTGCAGACTTCCTTATGGGCCCTACCTGCGGCCCTTCCAATCCAGCAGCTGGGGAGGGGAGAGGATGCTGTGCGCTCTGTATGCACGCAAGTCTGTGCTCTTGGACTTGAAGTCATTTGGGGCTATTTTCAATCCCATCCCCAGCCCTATTGTTACCTTCACAGAGGCAGTCTCCACTGAAGGCCTTTTGCACCCCTGTGCACAGCCAGGGATGTTACTGAGCCTGTGAGTTTTCTCTGCATGGCCCCCACTTCCACCCTCCTTCCTGCCTCGCTCCCTAGGTCCTGCCTTTCTAACACCGAGGCTGCAGGATGTCCGGGACGGGATTCTGCCTGTGGATTCATTGTTTGTGTGGGAAATATGGTTTGACTGGTGGCAAATCTAAATCCGTGTGCTAATGAGCTTGGTTCAAGCGGGCTTCTGCTGTTGTCTTTTAATCTAGCCTGCCTGTCTGAGCTCCTTTCCACAGTTAATGATCTCCTATAATGGTTTTGCCTTTAGTTTTGCCTCCTGGGTCAAAACAAATCAATAGTCCTCACAGATATTTAAAAACCATCAGTGTAAAGCTCCCGGGTCCCCCCCATCCACCACCTTTTTTTCCTTCTGGGTAAATTTATAGCTTGATCAGTGCAGTGATGCTTCCTTTACATCTCCTCTTATCTCCCAGAGATGGGCAGCAGCGAGCCCCTTCCCATCGCAGAGGGCGACAAGAGGAAGAAGAAGAAGCGGAAGGCCCGGGCCACTGACTCCTCGCCAGGAAAGTTTGAAGGTCGTTCACACAACTCTCCTAGACCTGGGCCTGTGGCTCCCAGTCCTGGGAGGAACGTCCCCATAGCCCATACGTCCAGCCCCACAAGATGCACCATCTCAGAGGCAGCTTGTGGTTACCTGTGTGACAGGGAGGAAGTATGGGGTGAGGGAGCTTGTGCGAGAGAGCGACAGAGAAAAGGTGGGAAGGCTCTCAGATGATGCCATGGCATCCTTCGAGTGGCCCGAGCACTTCATCAGTGGGCTGCAAGACCAGTCTAACCTAGTTGTAGATGGAGTGAGACGCCTGTGGTGTTCCAGCTGCGTGACAGATGTGACTCTTCCCTCAGCTCTTCCTGCAGGGGCTGCCAAGGGGTAGAGCAGCCATGAAAGAGGAGAGGGAAACACCAAGGGCGTGGCTGCAGATGAGACCTCAGTCTCCTACAAGCAGAGGATTTGCCTCTCAGAGACGGCAGCTACTTGTGCTGTGTTTGAGTCCATTTTAAGGAGTGCGTGTTGTGTTCAGGGGACGAGATGTTGCGTCATCAGACATATTTGGACATTCTACGTGCGAGGTGCTAGTTCAGTCCTGTTATCACTGGGCATGTGATGGGCGAAGTGAGTCACTGGACATGTCTACAAAAGACTGAAAGGATCAGTAGCTGCTTCTAAGAGCAACACATCCCCTCCATCTGTTTTGTTTCTTTCATTGTGAAACCCGAAATAGCTTCCCCTGGTGGTCCCTCTTTGCAGCCTTGCAGACACATGAGTGAGTTGATTGTTTTGTAGGTGGTTCTAATAACAAGCTCTTTATGAGTCAGGAATATTGGACCTCCAGCCGCCTACCTATTCTGATATGTGTAAAGAGCTAACGCCAAAGTGTGTGCTGTGGGAGAAGTGTGTCATTTAAATTTCTCACAGCGTGCTACCTGTTCTTATGAACAGTGGCAAGACCAAACTGTGATGGAACCAAGAAGGTGCTTGTGCAGAGCGTTTGATTTTTTTATTTTTATTTTTTTGCTTTTAACTCAAATACCAGATGTGTATATGGTGGGGGTTGGGAATGGGAGTGGGGGAAGATAGAAGTCCCAAGGGCTTTAGAATAGTTTCCAGATCAACAGGTCTGTTGCTCTTTCGTTGAACACAAGAGAGTATTTCCTGTTATTTAAAGATCACTTGTGCAACAGCAGGACTTCTGACTAAGAGTGATAAAATCTAATGCCATGGTTTACAAGTCTTCTGCTCAGGCTGTGGGTTTAAATGTGAGGCTGCCTCAAGAACAGCCTGCAGAGTAGAGGAGGAGGGCGGACGGGTCAGCTAGGCAAGGGCCGTGATGGAGACCTGGCTTCCTTTTGAAGGGGCTCGAAGAGCTGTGCTGTTTATGGCCGGGCGTGGTGGCTCACGCCCGTAATCCTAGCACTCTGGGAGGCTGAGGTGGGAGGATCGCTCAAGGTCAGGAGTTCGAAACCATCCTGAGCAAGAGCAAGACCCTGTCTCTACTATAAATAGAAAGAAATTAATTGGGCAACTAATATATATAGAAAAAGTCAGCCGGGCATGGTGGCACATGCCTGTAGTCCCAGCTACTCAGGAGGCTGAGGCAGTAGGATCGCTTGAAGTTGCTGTGAGCTAGTCTGATGCACTCACTCTAGCCTGGGCAACAAAGTGAGACTCTGTCTCAAAAAAAACAAAACAAAACAAAAGAGCTGTGCTGTTTGTGAGCTTGGGCAGGTCACCTAAATGTTCTCTCAAGCCAGGCCTGTTACTCTGTTAGAACCACTATGACTCAGTACCCCCAAAACCTCAAGGCATCCTTTGCATCCTACTTCTATCTCTTATTTCCTGTGGGTGACTTCTGGAAACTTCTCAGAAACCTCCAATGACCTCCATTGTATGTGGTATAAAATAGAACAGTGTTTATTCCCCTTGGTATCACCAGTGCTTAGCAGAGATTGGCACATAGTAGGTGCTCAGCAAATGAGTCAATGACTGACGTTCATTCAAATTATACCCTTTCTATGAAGATCCTCCAAATTCCCTCAACATATTTAACCTCTTCTTTCCCTGGTTTCCTTTTCTTTTCTTCTTTTTTTACTGTACCTTGTCCTTCTGTGAGAGTACTTGCCAGTCCCTGGTTTATTCTGGGGTCACTTATGTCTGTGTCTGTCTTTCCCACTTGGCCACGACCATTAGAGGGGAGGGACTATATTTTATCCCTCACTCTGTCTCTGGGACGCTTTCTAGCACATAGTAGGTGCTCAGGAAGCATGTGCTGAATTGAAACCATTCACTGGCCTCATCTCTAAAATGGGAACAGGATGTCTCATTGTGGTCTTGTTGAGAAACCGAGTCCTGAGGTGGCAGAGAAGGCTACATGTCTCCCTCATCACTGAGACTGCAGTGTCAGCGGGTGCCTGCTCTGCCTGTGTCATCTGACTGAGGAAGCTGAGTGACAGCCACTCTTCTTCCCCTCTGAGCTTGCAGTGGATGGCTCATCCTGTTATCTCTGTCGCCCGTTTCGTCCCTAGATGTGTATAAGCTGACCTCAGAATTGCTCGGAGAGGGAGCCTACGCCAAAGTCCAAGGTGCCGTGAGCCTGCAGAATGGCAAAGAGTATGCTGTCAAAGTGAGTGTCTCCTCTGCACGCCAGGCTTTACTTTGCACGTAGTCATTCCTAGCTTCTCCCAAGCCAAAGAAATTTTATATTCCTTTAGAATGGGGGCTCCAAAGCTATATTCACTGGATTCAGATCTTGTTTTCTCTACTTGCTTGCTTGCTTTGTTACCTTGGGCATGTTACTTAATCTCTCTGTCCTTCAGTTGCCTCATCTGTAAAATGGGTGTAATGATAGAACCTACATAGAGTTGTCATGAGGATTAAATAAGTTAATATGTGTAAAGTGCTTAGAACAATGCCCGGCTTATAGTAAGCTGCTTATTCTGACAAACGAAGTCAGCTTTAGGGAGTAGACAACAAGATTTGGAATTAGAAGGGCAACCTGAATTTCTGTTTTGACAAACTATTACTATTTGGCTTTGGGCAAGTCATTGAACCTCCTTAAGCCTCAGTTTCTACATCTCTAAATGGTGATACCTGCCCTTTCTGCCTTATAAGGTAGTTATGAAGATAAAAATAAAAATGCACTGGTATAGATAGAAACACTTTACCAATTGCAAAATCCTGTACAAGTGATATGTATTATCATGAGAATGAGGATTAAAAACTAGAGTGACTAAGCACTCAGTTTTGGGGCAGGAGAAGGAGTTTCCAGCCTCATCACAACCTTTAATGTGCTGCGTGACCTTGGAGGGGCTCATTTCACCCCTCTGCTTCCATTTGCCCACTACATGTGGAAGGGGGCCTGGATTTAGAATGTAGTTCTCAAAATTGGTCCCTGGGCCGGAGGCATCAGCATCACCTGGAAACTCCAGCCATGCCCCCCTGGTCTCTTTGGGCCAGCACTGGACCCTGGCTTGGAAATTCTTGGGTGTCAGCAGTTATGCCCATGTCGCCCCTGTCCTTTGAAAGCTCCCTAGAGATGGGCTGCTTCTCCTAGTGTGGCTCCACATCCCTTGGCTTGTCACAGCTTTCCCTGTAGGCACCCAGCTGATGAATCCTGGAGTCCCAGGTTTGGAATGGAATTTCAAGATAATCTGATCCTGAATTTCCTCTGTGGCTCCCCAAACAGTCGTCCATGTTCTGCTCCCCCATCTTTAGTAGCGAGAGTCCATTACCTCCTCAGAGAAAACTGTGCTGGAAAGCTTGCCTGCCAGAAAGTTCTTCCTGACTGTGATCTGAAATGCTTGGTGAATGAAGTTGAATAGTTTCTGTTCTCCAGCACTCCGCTTCTCTGCACAGAAAATGGGCCCACCGTGGTTTACTAACAGATGCAGACTTATTTAGAAAATTACAGCTGGTCATGGTTGTTTGTGCCACAATATACCGGAGAAGTCTGAAGTGTTCTGCGTAGCAGTGTCTGAATGGAGGAGCAGGATGCCGTCATCTGTGCTGCCACTTTGCACGTGTGAGCTGCAAGGCAGAGCCTTGCTCACAGGCCCGTCTGCAACGGTTTGGGACTCTGGATGGGAGAGGTTTCTGGAGGCAGCCAGTACCTGCATAAACCACCTGCTCATCTGTTGGCTTATCGTTCCTCCAGTCAGGCAGCTCCATCAGTCAAGGCATAGAAGAGATAAAGCCTCTAGGTGCTCCAGGAAGCTCTGCAGGGTCTAGGCAGGTATAGGGTAGCAAGGGTTTTGGAATCAGCTCCACGCTGTGGGCGAAAGGTTCCCATCTTCCCATCTTTTGATGTTGTTGTAAAGGCTAACTGAGCTTATATGTAAATAAATCACTTATTTGGCTGACATAGTGTCTGCCAAAGAGTAAGTTCCCAGAGGAGTGTGTTGTTTCTGCTGGGGGGATTACAGAGGCAGCGTCTGAGCTGCTTTCCAGCACTGAAAGGTCCTTCCATAGAAGTGGTAAATGCTACCCTGACAGCAGAAAGAGATGTCTTGGGATTAGGAGCTAAGTAGAGACAGCTCTTTGCCTTGCTGGCTGCCTCAGTCTCCCCTGGGCAGCTGGGGGCAGCAGCCTCACACACTTCCTTGGTGTTGTGCTTGGCCAGAGCCTAACGGGCTCAGCTGGCTGAGAAGCCCTCAGGCCAGTCTATTGCTTTGCTGTCAGAGCCACAGTGCCTGTGTCACCAAGGCCTACTCCAGACTTCTGCTCCAAACTGGATTTGGACTGGATGTGGCCTTGCATCTCCCAGAGGGCTCCTGGCGAGGGGCCGGTTTGAAGTCAGGTGGGTGTACATGACAGATTTTATTCTTCCCACAGATCATCGAAAAACAGGCAGGACACAGTCGGAGCAGGGTATTTCGAGAGGTGGAGACGCTCTATCAGTGTCAAGGAAACAAGTAAGTATAGTGTGGGGTTACTTGCTCTTCCCTGGGGGATGCTTGGCTGCAAAAGAGGAGGTTATTTCTTACCATCTCCTGACCCCAGCATTTAGTGCTCACGCATGCTACCCCTACCCGCATGAGCCTCCTGCCATCCCTCAGTGACAGGGAGAAGAGGGCAGCAGTCACATCAAGGATGCTGTCTTCTCTGAAATACTGGAATATCAGCAATTTAGGCAAGTTAGAAGAGTGGCAATCGGAAATCAGTGGCTGTTGTGGAAAAAATGGGGTTTTCTTTCTTTCAAGTACCTGTGGAAACTAGGCTGAGTGTTGCCTGCTCAGATCTTTAGGGCCCTGCTTTAATACTGAGATGAGGATGAGGCACACTATGAAGAATATTTGCTGCTGTTTTCTGTTCCTCGCGTATCTGTGTATGTGCAGATACCACTAAGGCCCTGAAACCTTGTCTGACACTCCTTCTTGATAAGTGGGCCAAGGTAATCTCTAGCCTGGCTTGGTCTGCCCACCACCAGCTCCAAATGAGTGGCTCTCCCACTGTGGCTTTAAATCAGGGTCACCTCCAAGACTCCGCTTCCCCCTCTCTCTCCCTCCATGGCAGGGTCAGCAGGGAGCCAGTGGCCTGGTATTGATGGCTTTGTCATTAAGCTTGCGGGATGGGGCTGCTGTTGATTTAACCCCAGGCACTGCCTCTACAATCTTTCAAATTAGGCCATTTTGCCCATCTTATTTGGACGCCTTCACACTAGTAAAAGCCTGGTATCTCCCAAAGTGGTCAGCATTTTTTTATGAGGGACAGGTTTTTATTTTCAGCCCTACAGCTTCTTAGTTCAGCATTAGAGACTCTACTTGGTTTATTTTGTTCTTTAAAAGGAAAAACGCCCCCAACACCTCCAATATCCAGGCCGGTGGCTTCCCTACTGAGCTACAAGACGACCTTGTTGGCAGAGCACTGAAATACTCAGGCAGACAGAGAGTGCTCACCGGGGAAGGCCACAAGTGCTACGCTGGCCAGGAACGCGGCCGTTTCATTAAGCAGCGCTTAGCAGTTAGGGTCTAGCGGTGCCCACGTTAGGCCCCAAGTCTATTTGACAGATGTTTCCATTTTCTCCAGGCAATGTAAATACTGCCCCGTGATTTATGGGCAAGAGGGAGGGCAAGTAATTATTTGCTGCTTGCCTCCAGGACACACACCTACTATTCAGTGTTATTAGCCGCAATTGCTTCCAGTCGGCTGCAGATTTTATTCAGTTTAATGTGACCGGGACTTTTTTATAACTCTACCTAGTGGGTTTTAGGGCTGGGGTTTGACAGCACAGACTTGGTGAAAACACCAGAGACTAAACATTATGGAAAGATAAGGTGACCTGAATCTTGCTAACACCATTGGCTGCTTCCACACGTGGGTCTTTAATAAGCATTCTGATTTCAAGTTGATTTCTGCCCCGCTACAGGGCGTTGTATATTTTTTTCATTGTATATTTGTAAGTAGACTTTAATATATAATACCATTTCCCCCCCTTTTCCCTCTCCTCCTATTTTCCCTATTTAAGGAACATTTTGGAGCTGATTGAGTTCTTTGAAGATGACACAAGGTTTTACTTGGTCTTTGAGAAATTGCGAGGAGGTACTTACTGTCGAGTATGTGTTTGGACTTCTGATTAAGACGCAGGGTGGTGATCATCCATCATGAATCCCAGAGACTTCTAAAACGAGTCAAGCTAATAAAAAGGATGAAGGACTTAAAAACTGCCCTTGATTTGGGAGAAGGGAGGCCGGAGGGAAGGATGATAATTAGCATTTTGCAGAGCTTAGAATGTCACCTGTGTGGGCATTTTATAAATGCCTTTTCATTATAATAGGAGTCATATATAGATACATTTAGTCATCAATTTATCAATCCCCTGTTTTGACACATTCACTATTTAAATTAATTATGGGGTGGAAGCTCTCAAATACACTGTGAAGTATAGTAGGAAAGGCTAAAATGGAGGAGAGAAGAGTCCCATTGTTTGGGACACAGACACAGGATGGAGGGAGGAGGCCTGAGAATGTACCATCCTTCAGATGGAAGGGTGCCACTACCCACACATAATCACTGGGTGTATATTTAAGTTGCTTTTCTGACATGATGAAGGGGATAGAGAAGTCCTTTCCCTCCCTGTCACTCCCCCAACCCTAGGACACATTTCCAAGGTAAAGGTTGCAGGGATGTCTAGAGCTGAGCAGAGGGCCACATGGAGGGGCTTGTTTTAGAAACCAACACAGGCCAGGCACAGCAGCACACCCTTATAGTCCCAGCTACTAGTGAGTCTGAGGCAGAAGGATCACTTGAGCCCAGGAGTTAGAGGCTGTGGTGAGCTGTGATCCTGCCACTGCACTCCAGCCTGGGTGACAAAGCGAGACTCCATCTCTAAAAAAAATGTCAAATTAGTTAAATTTTTCTGAAAAAAAAAAAAAAAAAAGAAACCAACACAGCTAAACTGAAGTCTATCTCCATCGCTTACCAGCCATGTGACCTTGGGCAAGTCACTTCTTCCAAACTCTCATCTGCAAATTAGGGATATTGATAGCACCCACTCGTGGAGTTGCTGTGAAGAGTCAATGAGATAACTCATGTGGAATACTTAGCACAGTGCCCGGCAGGCACTAAGGAGTCAGTAAATATCAGCTATTAGTATGATTAAACAGTTGGGTATGCTGGGGGGTGTCTTAAAAGTATGGAGAATGTTACTCCCTGCCTTTCTTTTTAACAAATTTGAAAATAAGAGTCTCACTACAGCAGAGCAAGCTAGGGCCTAGTTGAGAGCCAGTTTTCTGGGAATGTTCTCTAGCACGTTGGGATCTTTTGATCGTTTAATCTTTTTTTTTTTTTTTTTTTTTTTTTTTTTTTTTTTGCCCAGGCTAGAGTGAGTGCCGTGGCGTCAGCCTGGCTCACAGCAACCTCAATCTCCGGGGCTCAGCGATCCTACTGCCTCAGCCTCCCGAGTAGCTGGGACTACAGGCATGCGCCACCATGCCCGGCTAATTTTTTGTATATATATTTTTAGTTGGTCAATTAATTTATTTCTATTTTTGGTAGAGACGGGGTCTTGCTCAGGCTGGTTTCGAACTCCTGACCTTGAGCAATCCGCCCGCCTCGGCCTCCCAGAGTGCTAGGATTACAGGCGTGAGCCACCGCGCCCGGCCTGATCGTTTAATCTTGCAAGTGAAAGATCCTTGGGAATCCTTCCCCTTCTTTTCTCATCCCCTCCCTTTGCCAAAAACAAAAAAACAAAAAACCCACATAATAAGTAAAAATGTGCCATTTTTTAGGACACTACTGGCTTCCAATAGTGAACATAGACCACATGAAGCCAAACCACATATTCATGCCTGTGTCTGTCCCATGCTGCCCAGCAACCCAGAACTGACTGTCACTTACACGTTTGAAATGCTAGATGCAGCTGGGGTCCTCTGTGGCCATATCAATTAGCATAGTTCTACTGAGGCCAGACCCAGGGAGTAAAGAGAATGTGGTTGGCTCAGGACAGTCATCCCCTCAGCAGTTGGGTCACAAGCCCTACCAAGGGGAAGTCTGCTCGGACTCTGGGGCCTGGCTGTACTGGGCCCAGGTCCTCGCTTACCCACCTCCTGGTCTGTGAGTTGGGCGAGTTGCTTAACCATTTTTGGCCTCAGGTTCCCCATCTATAAAATTGGGATGACTATACTACCCATTTTGTACAATTGCAGCGAGAATAAGACAATTTATTTACAGAGTATTGCATAGTGTTTGGAATAACTACTCAATAAATGTTAGCCATTGCCAACAAAATAATAATATTAATCATAAATGGGAAAGTTCAGAGCAAAAAGCAGTTGTTCCCCCTTTTTCCAGACGTTTACATATCTGGTGAGGGTCTGGCATTTCCATTTGAATGCTGTGCTCTTTTTTGGATCTGAGATCAGGTGGGGAGGAGAAAACGTTCCTACAGAGAGGCCATGCCAGCTCCATGTGCATTCTCTTTTGATTTTAGAAGCCAAATCAGCCCCAGAGGCGTTAATATTTTTTGGCCATATAATAGCTGTTCTCTTTCCCCTCTGAGTTCCTAACAGACAGATACAGAAGCTAGCAGTACAGCTCTGTTCAACAGACATGTGCTGGTACCTCCTCTGCACCGGGTACCACACGTGTTGCTGGACATTTAGTGATGAATAAGCCTATGTCCCCACCCCAAGCTTGTGAAAACTTGGCGTCTAAGAAGTTATGCCTACTAAAGCCTGGAAAGGCATTCTCCTGTGTTCCCTCTCTTCCCAGGCTCCATCCTTGCCCACATCCAGAAGCGGAAACACTTCAATGAGCGAGAAGCCAGCCGAGTGGTGCGGGATGTTGCTGCTGCCCTTGACTTCCTGCATACCAAAGGTGACCCAGGCCCTGGCCTTGGTGGGTGGCTTGGGCCGGCCAGCCTCTGGGTACCAAGCGAGGGGACAGCCAGGCAGAGGGCTCGTCCAGGCAGTGGTGATGTGAACATGCTCACCCACAGCAGGGGCAGGGGCAGGGCGGCAGTACAGGATGCTTCTCGGCGTCTGCCGTGGGTTGAGGGTAGATGGTAGAGCTATTACGCAGGATAGGGATAGAGGAGAAAGAGCAGGGAGGAAAAAGAATAAATTTTACATTGAACAAGGTATGGTTGAGTGTGTGTATATGCAACTGTGTACATGAATGATGCTCCTTTTCTTTTCCTGATGAACAATATAAAACTCATACATAATATAGCCAATCTAGTGTAAATATATCAGTGTTACTCTTTTTAGTCGTTTAAAATACATCACCTGTATCTCTCTTTTCAAAACTGGAATGATGGGATATATTTAGTTTTATATATCTTGTTCACAGGAAATGAAAAGTGCATTTTTCTATTAATGTGTAAGTTTGAGATATCTGTTGAACATCACCATGGTAACTAGCAGGCAGCCTTTGTTTGAATTACACTTTGGTTTACGGTCCCTTTCCTTGGACTGATTATTCAAGAATTTTTATAGTGAATTAAATCTTTTTGCAAATTAAGTGTTTTGTATTTCTGTAAATGTCTGGCTGTTATATACATTTTTTAAAAATTTGCCTAACAGCGGTGCTATGGGAAAATCCTTTTTTCCAGCTGTGTGCTCCCTCAGTACTAGTGCCTGCCATTTGGAGAACTGAGAATGACGTCATCCACAGTGGCTAACACGTGGATAGCACTTGTTAGGGGCTAGGCACTATTCTAAGCCTTTTATAGGTACGAATTCATTTACGTCATCATGTGTGTCTTACGTACTATATATGCAAGTGTAGATGGAGCATGGTTCCTGGCACACAGTAGTCCTTCAACAAATGTTATTTCCCCCATCCTCATCCCCCACCAGGCAGAGAGCATTTTTATTCCTAATATTAATATTAAATCCCTTGCTAAAGCATTCTGCCTGCTGGGGCGGGGTTGCGGGGAGCAAATAATCTGTGACTTAGGTCTATTCCCATTGTGGATGTTGGCAGCAGCACCAGTGTGTGCTCAGGGCCAGTCGCAGGCATGCTGCTCACACGTCCCACTCTGGGCCAGCATCCAGCGCCGACTGGCCTGGCTTGTGTGCGGGGGTGTGGGGGTTCAGGTTCATGGACCCACCTCCCTTCCTCCAGTGGCTGAAAGAGATCTGTGTGCTGACAGTGCCCGTGCTGGGGCCCTGACTTGCACCTAGGATGGAAACCCCTGGAAGGGGGGGTCTGGCCCTTCTGCAGCATGATGAATAGCAGCAGTTGTGTTTCTGAAAGCTGGGATGCATGTAGGTAACACCTGCCTGACAAAGATTTACAACTGCTCCCCAAGCTGCCTCTGTAGATTGCAAAACTGGGTCACGCTTTTTACAAGATCCATACCTTGGAGGGGGTGGTAAAGGCGGTTTTATTTTTTATTTATTTATTTACAAGAATGCACTGAAGGGAACAGAGGCTGGTGGTGTCTTAGGGGGTCTGAAGTGCTTGTTAACATCTAGCTGGCCGGCTGCCCATGTGACTAGAAGTTGGAGGGGATGAAAAACGATTTCCAGCTGAACTAGGCTGTTTTCTAAATAACTTCACACTGGGAAGATGAATTGGGCAAGAATGGGTCAGGCCTGAAACAAGTTCCATACTTTTAAATACTGGACACACTGCAGCTTAACCTCTGGGAAATGAACCGGAGCGGCTCGATGGCCGGTGTGCTCACACAGCAGACCCATTATTACCGCCGGGCTCTCCGAGTGCTCAGGCTGCGGGACAGCTGGGCCATGGGCACCTATTTGGAGAGTAAGGCTCCATGCGCGCTTCGTGATCCTTCTGTGGGAGCACTTGCTGTAATGGAAAATATCTTTCACTTTTAGTGTGGCGAGCTGCAGCCCGACTCAATTTGTGCAGCCTGGACTGAGTTGCTCTGGGTTCTCATTCAATTAGGTGACTGATGAAGTTACTTAGCTCGCTGGAGCTCAGGTTTTTCCTCTCTAGTAAGGTGCCTCAGGTGGGCGGGGCTCGGCCTTTGCGGTCCACTAGGGCATCGGAGGGCTGCAGGACAAGTTGATCGTCGAGGGAATTCTCGAGAAGCAGAGTCTGCTTCTCATCACCCAGGAACCCTCTGTGGCTTTGCAGTACTTCCAAGCAGTGGCTGTGTGACTCTGGCTCAGCCCACCAGCCCCTCTGTCTCTGTGCTGTGCGTGCTGCAGAAGGAAAGAGGAAAGGGATGTTTCCATGTCCTCCCCCATGGCCCCTATGACTTGGCTCTTTGTCCCTTTCTTTGTTTAGAAGCAGGTTCCCCCAAAGCTGCCCTCCTGGCCAGGTCAGCAGGTTAAAAGCTCAGCCCTCCTGGGTGAGGCTGCTATTTCCAGTCTCCTTCAGGACGCCTGGCCAAAGTGCAGGGAGTCATCTCTTAAGAGCAGCACCCTCAGGCCAAAGCAGGCCTTGCTCCGCTGCTGGCAGGGCTGCCTGGGGCGTGCAGAGCAGGGGAAGAGGCCATCACACAAGCTTTGGGAGATCTGGTAACCAACACTGGTTTCTCTGAACATTCCAGGAGTCACACTGAAGAAATGTTTTAATTGGCCACACAAGAAGAAATGAGGTAGAGCAGTGTAAGCCCCCCGAGATGCTCTTAAACAAGGCACTAATTATTTCTGCCTTGCTGTCCCAAGCATTGCCATCTGTGGGGCTCTCTGCTGTGCTTTGCAGTAGGCTTTCTGATTCTTGGTGGTCACTGCAGTGCTGAAAGGTAGGCTGGCTGGGATTCATTTAGGTCTTCTTATCCCTCTGCCAGACTTCTAAAGCCTCTGCTTCAAAAGAACTTGCTTTTGGTTTGTGTCTCTGGTTACTTCTGCCTCCTGCAGCTCGTTGATTTTTTAATGTACCATAATTGGGAATTAATCTGCGAACAACAGCATTTGGAAAAAATTAATTGTGTGTGGAATGTTTGATAATTATGTGCATATGTTAACCATTTCTTTGCTCTTTGTCATTTCAGGCATTGCTCATCGTGATCTGAAGCCAGAAAATATATTGTGTGAATCTCCAGAAAAGGTACTTAGGGCCTGATCTGGGACATTACAGTTTATACTGATCTGGGAAGCCACCTTGCTTTCCATATAGATTGTTAGGCTCATGGCCTCAGGTGCCAACTTGAACTGATGAGAATATTATAATACCTAATATGGAATGTTTCTATGATCCTTGTCCCTTCTGTGCTCTTCATCATCAGTGTGATTGGCTTAAGTCAGAGTTTGTATTAATAGAATATGAGACCCACACAAAATTAATATTTTCTAGTCCAATGTACCTACTTTTGGAGCAGTTGATGTGAGTCATAAACAACTGAATCTTATATGGAGCAGATCTCTACCTATAAATGGTATTTGTGTTATGGTATATACCAGATGGTGTCCACCACTGGAAGTAATAATTAGGAACAAGTTCTTGAAAAGGACTTCTGTTTCCATTTTTATTTCCAAAGGTACCTATTAAAAACAAAACATGCTCAGTGTTGAACAAATTCAACCTATTTTAAATGTTGCCTTAACTCAAACTACTAGTAAACAGAAGTATTTGCAATTCCATTAGTGTATGACTCTGACAAATTCTGTGTTTATAGGAGGGATTTAGGCCCAAGTGGTATTGGGACCCATGTTCACAGTTCTACATGTATGTACACATGTATGTTTGCAAGAGCATGCATGTCTTGGTCTAGATGAAGCTAAGGCTCATAAATAAGGGGTGCCTGTGAATGAATCTGTGAGTCCACCTGCTACTCACACTCTTTTGTGGGGAATAATAATGGATTAGCTCAAATAAAATCATGCGACTTCCTGTCACTCGTCTAGCATAGACCTTTATAATTTATCATTATTACTATTAATAATTACATTTAATATGCCTTGACCGCTTACATTATGCCAAGCATTTATTTAGTAATTTTAAAATATTGTGTGAAGTAGATACTATTATTAGATTCATTTCATGAATGAGGACACTGAAGCTTAGAGAGGTTAAGAAACTTGTACAGTGTCAGTCAGCTGGTAAGTAGAAGAGCCTAGATTTCTATAGGTGCCTTCACTACCTGTTACTGCCTCTGGTATATAATGTGCTTTCATGGCCTTTGTTTCATTTGATCTTCATGGCACAAGTTTGTTATGCCCTTTTAATGGTCGGAAAAACTAAAAATAAGAGAGACTAAGTGTCAAAGGGCATCACCAAGAAAGTAAAAAGATGTCCTACAGAATGGGAGAAAATATTTGCAGATCATACAACTGAGAAGGGGTTAATATCCAAAATATATAAGGGACTTCTAAAACTCAACAACAAAAAGACAACCCAATTAAAAAAACTGACAAAGGATTGAACAGACATTTTCTCCAAAGAAGATACACAAATGGCCAATAAGCATATAAAAAGATGTTCAGTATCCTTAGTTATTAGGGAAATGCAAATCAAAACCACTGTGAGATACCACTTCATACCTACTAAGATGGCCATAATTTTAAAGATGGAAAAATAACAAATGTCGGTGAAGATATGGGAAAATTGGAACCCTAATATGTTGCTGGTAACAATGTTAAATAATACAGTCACTGTGGAAAACAGTCTGGCAGTTCCTCAAAAGGCTAAACACAAATTACCATATGACCCAACAATTCCACTCCTAGGTATGTATCCAAAAGAACTGAAAACAGAGACCCAAACAGATACTTGTACACTGATGTTCATTATAACATTATTCACAACAGACAAAAGGTAGAAACAACCCAAGTGGCCATCAATAGATGAAATAGATAAACAATGTGATACCCACATACAATAAAATATTATTCAGCCATGAAACAGGATGAAGTTTTGATACCTGCTACAATATGGATGAACCTTGAAAGCATGCTAAGTAAAGTAAGACAGACATAGACAAATATGATTCCACTTATGTAAAATGTCTGGAGTAGGCAAATGAATAGAGACAGAGTATATTAGAAGGTACTTGGAACCAGGGAGAAGAAGAATGGGAAGTTATTACTTAATGAACATAGAGTTTCTGATTGGACTGATGGAAGAGTTTTAGAAACAGATAGTGGTAATGTAATAGTTACTTAATGCCAGTGACTTTTAAGTGTATGTTTTTCATATACACTTAAAAATGGCTAAAATGGGATGGACGTGCTGGTGCACACCTATAGGTCCAGCTACTCGGGAGGCTGAGGCAGGAGGATTACTTGAGCCCAGGAGTTTGAGGCTTCAGTGAGCTGTGATCATGCCACTGCACTCCAGCCTGGGAGACAGAACCTCTTAAAAAAAAAAAAACGGCCAGGCGCAGTGGCTCACGCCTGTAATCCTGGCACTCTGGGAGGCTGAGGCGGTTGGCGTGCTCGAGGTCAGGAGTTCGAAACCAGCCTGAGCAAGAGCAAGACCCCGTCTCTACTATAAATAGAAAGAAATTAATTGGCCAACTAATATATGTAGATAAAATTAGCCAGGCATGGTGGCACATGCCTGTAGTCCCAGCTGCTTGGGAGGCTGAGGCAGGAGGATTGCTTGAGCCTAGGAGTTTGAGGCTGCTGTGAGCTAGGCTGACGCCACGGCACTCACTCTAGCCTGGGCAACAAAGCAAGACTCTGTCTCAAAAAAACCAAACAAACAAAAAAAACAAATAGGCATATTTTATATTTTACTACAATGAAAAAGAAAGGGGCCAAACGAAAAAGAAAACAAGAAAAAGGGAGGGAGGGAGAGAAGGAAGTAAGGGAAGAAGCTGAGGGACTTGCCCAGGCTTCCCGGCAGTACATGGGTGACCTAGGACTCACAGAACCAGCATTTTCAGCTTGTTCAGTGCTGCTTCCACCGTGGAGGACACGCTCACGTGTGCACCCAAACTGCCCTCCTGGTTGGCTCCGAAGATGAGTCACCATGTCTCGTTCTCAGGTGCAGCATCCAGTTCTGGGCTTGGCTGCTGTGTTGATACTGCCCAGAGTGACCAACCGTCCCAGTTTTCCAAGGACTGAGGGGCTTCCCGGAACACAGGGCTTTCAGTGCTTAAACTGAAAAAGTCCCAAGCAAGCACCCCAGGATGCATCAGTCACCCTAAGCCAGTGAGGTGGCCAAGGTTTTACTCCAAGCTCCTTTGCCCTCCACTGAATGGGCTGCAGGGAGTCTGTCAGGAGTGCGTGTGAACTCCTCTAGCTCCCGTGATGCAGCCTGCACCAGTGTTGGCGGGCAAGAGTTCCGTACTTATTTTCTACTAACTTCGTGACAGTCCACACTGTATAGTTCGCCTGTTTTTCTCTTAGTTGGGAAATAAGAGAGCATGGGGAAGAGGACACCTTGGAAAAAGACCTCTAGGGACTTCTCATTAACCCAAGGAGAGTGAATATGACCTGGTAGATAAAGCCAGCTGCAGTGTGACAGTCACATCGAGTTCCTCATGCTCTCTGATTCTTTTTGTTTTTTAGACAGAGTCTCGCTCTTCACTGGGACTACAAGTGTGTACTACCACATCTGGTTAAATTTCTTATGTTTTGTAGAGACAGGGTCTCACTGTGTTGCCCAGTCTGGTCTCTAACTCCTGGGCTCAGGCGATCTTACCACCTCTGCCTCTCAAACTGCTGGGATTACAAGCGTGAGCCACTGCACCAGCCCCTGTAGTTTCTTATATCTGTGACCTCGGCTTCTGTTTTCCTTTTCAGGTGTCTCCGGTAAAAATCTGTGACTTTGACTTGGGCAGTGGGGTGAAACTGAACAACTCCTGTACCCCCATAACCACACCAGAGCTCACCACCCCGGTATGTGTGGCTGGGTACCCTGGGTAACTTCCTTCTGGGCTCCTGTGCATTTGGAGTGCCCCCTGCACCAAAGTTGGGGAGTCTTGAGCAGAGGGTGGAGGAAGGAAAGCCAAGGGGTCGAGTGGATCCCTTGTATCAAGTGGATCTGTAGCATATCCCACTGTCCAGGTTGTCATTTGGCTCGTGGGCTCTGGGCTCTGTATTGTCGCTCCCAAGCCTGCCCCTTCCCCTTAGGTGCTAATGAAAGTGACATTAGGGCTTTTAGTTTGGGATGGGTCATCCCTGCTGATGAAGGGATAAATTGTAACTGTAAGCACAGGCTAAGCCCTGACTCCTGACTCAGGTGAAAACAGACTCGACTCCCAGGCCAGCCCTTTTGCATATGAGCATGTGGTAGTTCTATAAAGCCTATCCCCATTGTGATGGAGGATGGGGGCTGTTCTCCCCCACCGTGGAAGGATAGTCTCTCTCTAGCAGGAACTCTGAGGTCCCAGGCAATGTGCATGTGGGATCACTAAGGCAAGTCATCCTGTTGCTTCTCTGACTTCACATTTTATGCCCAGGTGGTGCTGCTACTGCCTCTTCTTAAGACATCTCTTGTACATACTTGATATGCTACGATTATTATTATTCTTTTGAGATTTGCATGTTTCACAAGTAAATTTTCCTAATAATCCTTTTTTAAGACATGCCTTTAAATATGCTTATACTGTGTCTTATTCTAAGTAACATTATTAGGAATGTTTGTGTGTTAGCTTCTAACATGCTGGGCTGCCTTGGTCTCAAAATCATTAACCCTAATTGCCAATAACAAGGAAAATATCTTTTCCTGAGAACACTTAACCTTCCAATCAAATTCATTTGAGAGGTTGTTTCTTGGTGAGCCTGACATAAGCAGGAGGGAGTGGACAAAATGTGTTTTGTTCTCACTAGCAGTTTTCCTAAGGGGGCAAGAGGGAGATAAATCCTGGGTTCTGGCCCCAGGTCTTCCACTGATGTGCTCAAACAGTCCCTGTCCCTTTCTAGGTCCTGCCTTTGCCACCTGTAAATGGGAAGGGTGGGAAGATCAGATTTGTTCGAAGAGCTGTTCTAGCTTTGATGATCTCTGAATTCTGAATTCTTGTGCGTCCTCGCTGTGAGCTAGCAGGAGAGCTAGGCAGGATTCACTTTAGGAAATCCTTGCTGTGTGGAATTGGATCTCCACAGATCTCCCTCCCAGAGCCGTATTCCTGGCACATTTAATTACCTATGCATGTAGTGTCTGTCTGTGGAGAGCTGGGGCAGGGACAGACTCCTGAAGCTTCTTGGCCAAAGGTCTCTGCCTGCTGGAGAAGGACCTGCAAAGATAAGGCTGCTCGGAGCTGGTCATTTGGATCTTGGGGGATGGTGGGGCTCGGTTGACAAACGCTGGCTTGGCCCAGCTTCTCTGAGTGCCTCGGTGGCATCTGGTGAGCTCTCTGGCTGGCCTTGCTGATGACTTCCTGCTCTGTACCCCACCCCTCCATCGTCTTGCTGCAGTCCCAGTACAGTCTGCCCTCTGCCATGCCCTCCCGGTGACTGAGCCTCTCTCTCTGCCATCTCTCCTGCCACCCCCCACCCCACAGTGTGGCTCTGCAGAGTACATGGCCCCCGAGGTGGTGGAGGTCTTCACGGACCAGGCCACTTTCTATGACAAGCGCTGTGACCTGTGGAGCCTGGGCGTGGTCCTCTACATCATGCTGAGTGGCTACCCCCCGTTTGTCGGTCACTGCGGGGCAGACTGTGGCTGGGACCGGGGCGAGGTCTGCAGGGTGTGCCAGGTGAGTGCGGCCCTAGGGGCTGCTGCGTAGGCCCTACAGGGGCTCGTTGTGGTTGTGGGAGGCCAGCAGGACGGAAGAGTATTCCTGATCTGGAAGGGGCTTTATTTTTTTCCATTTTTTTTTTAAATTTCAGCATATTATGGGGGTACAAATGTTAAGGTTACATATATTGCCCATGTCCCCCTCCCCCCTCAAGTCAGAGCTTCAAGCGTGACCATCCCCCAGAGGTTGCATATCTCACTCATTATATTTGTATATACCCCTCCCTCTTCTGTCAGGGCAGCCACAAGGTAAAATAGACATAATCAGGCACTCAGCCCAGCCAGGAGCTCAGAGAGGGTTGTTAGAGAACATCATACCTGAGCTGGCTTTTAAAGGATAAGTGTTGGCTGGGCGCGGTGGCTCATGCCTGTAATCCTAGCACTCTGGGAGGCCGAGGCAGGCAGGCAGATTGCTCAAGGTCAGGAGTTCGAAACCAGCCTGAGCAAGAGCGAGACCTCGTCTCTACTATAAATAGAAAGAAATTAATGGGGCAACTAACATATATAAGAAAAACCAGCCAGGCATGGTGGTGCATGCCTGTAGTCCCAGCTACTCGGGAGGCTGAGGCAGAAGGGTTGCTTGAGCCTAGGAGTTTGAGGTTGCTGTGAGCTAGGCTGACTCCACGGCACTCACTCTAGTCTGGGCAACAGAGTGAGACTCTGTCTCAGACAATAAAAATAAAGGATAAGTGTTGCCCAGGGAAAAGGGGCGAGAAATGCAGGTAGAAGGCACAGGCAGAGACAGGGACATGTGAAACAGCCATGTGCAAGGGAGGAAGCGTGGCGTGTAAGGCAGCAGGTGGTGGGCGGTGAGGCCTCAGAGGGTCACAGAAGGCCCTCCAGGGAAGGGCAAGGAGTGTGGGCTTTGTGCTGGGGGCAATGTTCCTTCTCATCACCATCCAGTCCCCCAGGCAGCACAGCCCTCCCAGCCTGCCACGGGCATTCTGTAGAGTTTGATGATTTAAGGGAGAGTGGGGTGTGGGAAGGGGCCCCGGGGTGTGGGAAGGGGCCCCGGGCTGTGGCATCTCCAAGCCATGAGCTGCAGCTGCAGCTGAGGTTGATTGAAGCCAGGTGATCAGATCAGCGATGGGCACATCCTGCCCATCTCTGGCCAGTGTGGCCTCAGGAGGAATCTTCTTTACCTAGAACAAGCTGTTTGAGAGTATCCAGGAAGGCAAGTATGAGTTTCCGGACAAGGACTGGGCGCACATCTCCAGCGAGGCCAAAGACCTCATCTGCAGGCTCCTGGTGCGAGATGCCAAGCAGAGACTCAGCGCTGCCCAGGTGCTGCAGCACCCGTGGGTGCAGGGGGTGAGTGCCCCCAGTCCTGCGGCATGGCCATGAGGAAGTGCTCATCCCAGAGAGTGCTAAACGCCAGTCGGGTGGCTGACCTCAGCTGCAGGGAGGTCCTACAGCAGCTTCCACCCCTGTGTGTGGGCGGTGAACTGACTCCTCTCTTTGCCCAGGCTGAGCCCCTTACGCTCCATGGCCTTGGCTCTAACCGTGGCCACAGACTAACCCCCAAAAGAGCCCTCCAGGGGATTTGGCACATGCATCCCACTATTGGAAGAGGCACCCAGCCCAGGAAGCAGTCTGGTGTCATCATCTGAGGCCCGCAGCACCATCCTCTTACACAAAAACGTCATTAGCTGAGAGCACCCAGAAGCAAGCATGGCATTGCCCTGTGGCTGTGATGGGGGCACGCAGCTGACCTGGAAGATGAATGGTAGTGGTTTGCCCAGGGCTAAGGATCCAAATCTTCACTAGAAAATATTTTTTAAAACCCTCCTTGGTTAGTCACAATACCTGACCTCTCTCTCTCCAAGGGATCTGCCAGACTCCTTGGTGACTTACTTTGTCTCCTTGGTCTGCCAGGCCCTTGCTGGGCTCAGGGGCCCTGCCGGTGGAAGGAGGCAAGCATTGCCAGCCCACGTCACAGACAGGGACCTGATCCAAGAGCGTCTAAGTGGCTAATTCCCAGGCACCCAAGTGCACACACCTACTGCATGCCAGACACTGGCAGTGCAGGGACAAGCGAGACTCAGGCCCCGTCGCCATTGGAGAGAGGTAGACAAGGGAATAAATTACAGGACAGTGCGATAAATGCTTATTAAAAGGGGGGTCTGTAGAGTGTGCCAGGTGAGTGTAGCCCCAGGGTTACAACTGGGCCAGTTGTACCACCACCTCTGCTTAAGTGGGTAGGGAGGTGGCAGGAAGGGACAATGCTTCACAGGGGAAGTGACCCTTGGGCTGGATCTTGGAAGAAGATTGGGACCCTGCTGAGCAAAGGGAGAGAGGGGCTCTCCATGCACGTTGGGGGCTGTGTCTTCAGATTGTACCTTTCTTGCTCTCTCCTTAGAAGGCCTGACCCCACAGGCAAGCATAGCTCCGTCCCTGTGCTGGGCCCAGAGCCTGCAGTAACCTACCCACTCTGTGCTGGTCTGGGTGGGGGCAGCCCTTGGAAGGAGGGAGCAGCGCTCACCCACACATCTGTCCTTCCCATTCTAGCAAGCTCCAGAAAGGGGACTCCCCACGCCGCAAGTCCTCCAGAGGTAAATGCTCACCCCAGCACCTTCTCTCTTTGGTTTTGACAGTCCCTCCAGCTCTCAGCCAGAATGCATGGGGAGATGAGGGACAAGGAGCCACCCCTAGGCACAGGTAGCCTTCTCCCTGCTTCCTCTCCTCACTCTCTTCCTCTGCTCTAGATGGCTCTCTCTGTTTTGTTCCTCCACCTAGATTGCTTCCTCTGCCCTCCAGCACCATTAAGGCCCCTCCTTGCACTGTTTGCCTACCCACTTGATTTGTAACTGGAAGTCGCCACTTACAGCCCAAAGACAGCCCAACTGAGGCTTCCCCTGCGCTGGCAGGTGGAGAAGCAGCAGGAGAGGGGCACTGTGAGGCAGTGGGACCAGTCATCACACACTACCACAGACAGTAATCATGGCCACCATGTACTAAATCCTGACCACATGTCAAGATGTTGGTGTTAGGGGCTTTGTATATGTTATGTCCTTATCCCCATTTCACAGATGAGAAAACTGAGGAGGAGAGAGAGCAGGTTAACTTGCTTGGGGCCACATGGTAGCCCTGGATGTAGACTCCAGAGCCTTCCAATAGCTGGACTACGTTCCCAGTGAGCACGGCTCTGTTCCCACAAGGCAAGGGCTAAGCGGTATGGGAATCCCCTCCGGAACCAGCCCTGTGCTGGTATTTAGGAGCCACACAGGGAAGTCTCACCTCCACAGTCTCCGTTTGTGCCTAGGAACGCTGTTGCCCAGCGTGGGTTCCTACCTGATTCCCAGAGCTGCCCCCAGATGCTTGGAGGTACCAAACCTCAGAGCCCACTTAGATTTATGCAGCACACCTGGAGTGTTTGTTACACGCCAGCCCCGAGCTGGGCTCTGGGGACACGGGCATAACTGGCACAGGCCCTCTCTGGGTGCTCTGCCTTGATGGGGGAGAGGGACAGACGCGTGAGTTTCGTGTGCCACAGCTCTTCCTCTGATCGAGCTGCGTGCAGAGCTGTGGGAGCTCAGAGGAGGGTGTTGTGAGCACAGGGGTGCATTTGCCCGACTGTCAAGTCTAGGGACTGCACTTGACTGCACTTTGAGCTAAAGGCCATTTTAGCCTCGGTGGAGCAAGATTTCAAACGCAGGCAAGAACTGCTTCGGAGAGCGCCTGTGCGTGTGCGGGCAGTCTGGTGGGCACGTGGAACCGCGGCAGCGAGCAGGAGTGCCCAGCAGCTGCCCTGCTGACCCTGAGCCCTGCCTCTCTCTCTTCTGTGCCTTCCCTGGCCCCTGTAGGAACAGCAGCACGATGGACCTGACGCTGTTCGCCGCGGAGGCCATCGCCCTTAACCGCCAGCTGTCGCAGCACGAGGAGAACGAACTGGCAGGGGGGCCAGAGGCGCTGGCTGAGGGCCTCGGCTCCATGAAGCTCTCCCCTCCCTCCAAGTCTCGGCTGGCCCGCCGGCGGGCCCTGGCCCAGGCAGGCCGCAGTGGAGATGAGGGACCGTGCCCGACACCCACAGCACTCTGAGCCACTCCAGTCACACCTTGTAGGCCCCAGGCCTGTCCAGTCATGGCCCCTGTGGAAACCCGTGTGGCCAAAGTCTACAGAAAGGCAACGGGCCTGCATTGTGGCTCCATCAGGCCTTTTCTCTACAAAGGCCCTGAGGTTCCCACTCAACCCCCCATTTCCCCAGGGTCCTGGAGGAAAAAGCTTTTCCTAAGGGGTTGTCTTTGAAAACGAAAGCAATCACTTGTCACTTTGCATAATCGCCTGTGGCGGGAACATCTCTTTGCCAGGCTCCACCTGCTCACCGCCTGCAGAGGATCCAGCTCCCACCGCAGAGGCGCTGGGGCTGCAGCCTTCAGGGAGCCAGCTTCCAGAAGCCAGGAGCATCCGTTGACAGTGGCTGCGACACGTGCCTCTTCCAACTCTCTGCACTGTCACCCTCCTCTGGCCGTCCTCCACCTTCCTCTGTCCTCCGCACGTCCTCTTTGCCCGTCCTCTCCCTTGGCTGAGCAAAGCCATCCCCTCAATTCAGGGAAGGGCAGGAATCTTCCTCGTTCAGGAAACCAGATCAGTCTTCCAGCGTGTAGCACAGAAGCACATAATCTTTCTTCGCCGTGACCGAAATGTGCTCCTCATTTATCATCCTCTTCTTCGTTTGTGATTGCTGCTAAAGTCCTATGTTGTTTTTATAAAGTTTGTTTTTAACCAGGCTCTTCCAGCAAAGGTGGGACTTTAAACTCCCACCACAAGCCCGTGGACTTCCCAGAGCACGCACATACGGGCTTGCTCTTGTTTCGGGAATGTCCACGCGTTTAGGTTTTAACGAGCTAGTCCCTGTTATTCTAACTGGTTTTAAGCCGTTGCTATGAGGAGCAACTTGGAGACAGTGGAGACAGTGCCGGTGTCATGTCACATGGAGGCGGCACAGGTCTGGGCAGTCAGATGGAGCCCTGCACCTGGGGCAAAGCTGGGTCAGAGCAGCCCCAAACAGCATGAAGGTACAGCCCCTGTCGCAAGAGCTGAGCTATTGATTTATATAAAGAAAATAGATTTGCATATGTCAGATGTTTATACAACACAAGGATGGTTTTATATATTGTGCTTGTTTTAATAAAACTTAAATTCTAACTGTGGCCTGCTCAGTGGTCCGTCCTTTCCCTGCAGACCTGAGAAGGAGGCAGGCCTTTTGCACGGGGCTGAGTCCAGCCAGGGGGGGGAAGCTGCCCTTGTCAGGACCCCAAATAGAAAACCAAATTTGGTCCGCACCACAAGGTGAAGGAGACATTGCTTTTCTTTTTTAAGTAAGGAAATGAAATTCATTTATCAGTCACTTCTCCTGTGCCAGGACCCCAGAGGTGAGTAAGAAGCGGCCTCTGCTTTTTAGGAGCCCCCCACTGAGCAGTAGAAGTGGTGTCAGCTGTAATGCCGTGACACAAGTAGACTTCAAAACATGCTTTAATAGATATCCCTTGTACCCATTCAGCCACAAGCAGGGGAACAAATTTCCCCTCTGTCTAAAGCATTACTAAGCCTTTATTGAGAGCCTGTCATGTGCCGGGACTATGCTTGTCCTGCCGGACTTGGCAACAAAGAAAAGTGGTGCCTCCCAGCCACAGCCCTTGTGTGTGTCATGCAAAGGACCTTCGTGTCTGTTGTCCCATGTAATCCCCAGTGCCATACTGGAGAGGGCTAGGCTGAAAAGGACCTTTCCCAAGCAGGTGGCAAGAGGGAGGTGAGCATCAGCAGTAGACTGGGTGCCAATGACAGCTATTTGCCTTGGGAGAGCAGAGAGGGAGAGGGGCTTAGGGGCTCTTCACTGTCCTACACTATAGATGACTCTGCGTTAATGATCACTTATCGTTTTTTGACAGTCTTCCCTTTGCAGTAACCCTGACCATCCTCACATCCCTTCATCTGCCAGGGTGGGGAGTTGGGGGGTTGGCTGGAAAAACAGACCTGCAGAATCTGGGCTTTTGGGCCCAAGGTCTCCAAACCTCTGGGGATCCGGGGTGTGAGATGAGTTCCGCCCTGGACTCCAGCCCCAGCCTGGTCAGGCTTCTCCCAGGGCCCAATGGGAATGTAACTTCTGGGGGCTTCCTGGGTTAGGCACTGGCCTCCCTACAGCCCTGGCCCACACCCTGTCCTGCGACAGCTCTCCCATGCGTTGACTCCAGCTGTGCCCTCTCCCAGCTGCCGCCCCGCTCCGGTCATCCTCCACAGCTCTGCTGAAATGCCACTGTGCCGCCTCTGGTTTTGCTGTCACTGTTGTTTGCACTTACTGAGTAAGAAGTACTTTCTAAGAAGTTTACTATGGGCATTAGCATTCAATTCTCACAGCAGTCGTGTGAGGTGGGTACTATTATTTTACCCCATTTAACATGAAAAACCAAGCGGAGAAAGGAAAAATAGCGTGCCCAGGGCTGTACAGCTAGCAATGGTGGAACTGAAATTCCTTCTAAAGAGGCTTGGGCCCCAGAGTCCTGCTGTCCGTGTTCAAATCCCAGCTCTGGCACTTACTAGCTTTGGGCCTTGGGCAAGTTACTTAACCTCTGAGAGTCTCTGTTTCTTCAGGTGTAAACGCAGATGATAGTGCTTACTGTGGTACTGTGCAAAAGTTACGAACCAATAAACGTATTGTTGAGAGCAGTTCCAGACACATGTAAGTGTGCCATGAATGTTAGCTACTGCATTTTAGTTATACTGCAGTCCCCTTCTGGGTGGTTTCAGTTACCTGCCGCCAACCGCCGTCTAAAGATAGGTGAGTACAGCACAGTAAGATATTTTGAGCGACTACAGTCACATAACTTTTATCATAGTATATTGTTATAATTATTCTATTTTAGTTAATCTCTTACTGTGCTTAATTTATAAATTAAACTTTCTCATAGTTGTGTGTATGTATAGGAAAATGCATAGTATTTACACAAAGGGTTCAGTACCATCTGCAGTTACAGGCATCCACTGGGGATCTTGGAATGTATCCCCCTCACATAAGGGGGGACTACTGTGTTTATTGTTGTCTCCAGGGGCAGAATTATTCAACTCATGGTCCCAGTGCTGGAGGGGAGCCCTCCCTGTGCAGAAGCGCGGTGTGCTGTGCAGATGGATCTGGGGCTTTCTAGACAAGACAAGCCTTTGGCCCTCTGTGGGATCCTCCTGTTGGGGGGCTGCCCTGCCCCTCTGGGCGGGAGTCCCTATCCCATAGGGGCAGCTGTGGGGAGGAGCCTGAGGTTGGGGCTGGGGCCCTGGGCTCTAGTCCTGCCTCTGCCACTACTCACTGGGTGACCTTGGGAAGTCCTGGCTTGGCTGGGCAGAAGCAGATATGCTAGATGCACCAAGGGAGGCTCTGAGACCTGCTGGGTGGGAGCCAGCTCCCCAGCTCTAGGGCTCACACTTGGGCTGGGCCTTAGAAGGAGAGAGCTGGTCCCAGCCAGGGTGTCTCAGACCTCAGGCCTCTTTCGTCAAATCCAGTTAGCAGGTCTTGGCCCCAGTCCCAGTGCTGGTTCAGTTACATCCTGAGGACCCCTCTCTGATGGCTTCTGGGCACAGAGGTCACCCAGTCTTTGCCCCTCTGTGTGTCTACCTGCCGGAGCGCTGGGAGCCCCTCCTCCCTCCTGGCCAACTGCCCCTTGCCAGACCCAGCTCCACACACAGCGGTGCCTTGGTCCCATGCCAACTGCTCCAGCTGCTTCAGGTCTGGAGGGGGCTGAGGAGCAAGGTCCCCCCAAGGCTGGCACTACTGTTGCCATGGTAGCAGTTGCCTTGGAAGCGCTTCCCTGACTTCAGCTTCTAACAGTCCAAGAAAGCTGCCTGTCCCCGGGGGGATTGGAGAATTAATCACGGTCTTTTCCAGGGTTCTTACCCCTCAAGGAAAATAAACAGAACCAAACCAAGCTGGGCCCTTTTCACCCACCCTTCCTCCCCACCCCGCACACCATACTTGGACTTGGTGCTCTGAGAAGGAAAGAGCATAGGCAGACACCCTGCAGCCCTCACCTCACCAGGAGACACAGAGGGCAGATTTTGTGATGGAACCCAGCCACGTGCCCCTGATCTCACCACACCTGGGCACTGTGGTCTTCCGGGGAGCCCAGGCCCCGCCCAGCCCAGAGTGACACAAACAAACCCTGCATGGGGGAGCGGGGGTGGGGGCGTCATAGAGGGTGCTTAGGTCCCCAAAGCTCAACCTCTCAGGAACACGTTTTCATGCACAATTATTTTGGCAGCTCCTTCTAAAACTAGTCACTGGGGGATCAATTACAAGTGACAGAGATGTGACTGTCATTTAGAGCCTAATCAGAAGCTTAATGATACCTCATCCTGGCAGGAGGCACAGGGGATATTGGCAGCAGCACCACAGCAGGGGACTGCCAGGTTCCAGGGGCTTCCTCTTTATGGGGGCCACGAACATGACCTGAGGGCCCATCATGCTCTGCGGTCACCCCTCCTCTCTAGAGGAGGGTTGCACCCAGGCCTCTCTCCAGCTTCCTGGCAATGAAGATGAAGCTCCACTCAGGTGACCCTGGGGACTTCTTTGGCTCCACTCCACACCCAAGGACTCTTGTCAGAGACAGAGCTTCCCTTGTGCCCACAGCCCTCCTCTTTACCGACTCGAGGTGGTTGTGCAGGTCCAAGCCCTCTCCCTGAACTCGGTGCTCATGTCTAGAAGGCTCGCCCAGATCCCTGCCAGCTGTGGCATTCTGTGGCACTCACTCCCAGAACCTGGAGGGGTTCCCAGTCTCCAAAGGACATGGAGAGAACAAGGACAGCTAGTGGGCACTTCATCATGGGGCCATGGGAACAGGAGCAGGGTAGTCAGTAAGGGCTTCACAGAGTTGGGGCTGGCCAGGCAGGGTCCTAGTGCATGAGGAGGTGTTTTCCAGATAGCAGGGGAGGCAGGAAAGGAGAGGAGAGGACCAAGGGGCAGGGCAGCTGTGGAGGCAGGAGGCCGTGAGCTTGGCTGCATGGGACCACACATGGTAGGAGAGAGGATGCATCCAGAGAGAGGCCAGTGGCATTGAAGATAGGACTCTGGGCAGGGTGATGGGACCCTGGGAACTGTGCCCAGGTGCAGGGCCAGGCCAGGGCCACATTCTGGGATTGGAGAGGCCCTGATCCATAAGGGCCAAAGAATGCAATTAATGATGATGGCTGGAACTGGGCGCCTGGGGCAGGGCTCAGGGCTGGGCTGGGTTGGGTTTCCACTGCCCAGCATCGGTTTGTGGATCCTGTAAGTAGGTCAGACAGGCTGGGAAGAGGTGCCCAGGCCAGGAGGTCAGAAGGCGCCAACCAGGCTCCAACCTCCTGCCTCTGCCTCCCGGCCCCCAAACCCCAGCCCTTAGCAATTCCTCTTCCCAGCCCTCCTCTCCGGTGTTTCCTCCTCCTCATACCCACCGCCACCACTGCTCTTCCCTGTCAGTCACAGCTGGGGACCCCAGGGCAGCCAGCAGGCTCGCCCTCACATTCCACTGGCAAAGGAAAGGGGTGGGTACCAAGTCCACCTGAGGAGAAAGGGGTCCCCTGAGAATAAGCCTCAGACCAGGAGCCCTCAGCCCTTCCTGGGAGCCCAAAGGTGGACAGGCAGGGGAAGGGGGCACGGCAGGGGCGGAGAGCGGTCATGGAGGGACACCTCTCACTCCCCTCTTCTTGCCCCAGTCACACTTCCTGTCTCTGGAGCTGTGTCCAAGTCTCATCTCTGCGACTCCCAGTGAAGCCCCAGGTGCACCTCAGGCTGAAGGGCAGAGGACAGCACAGGGTCCCTAAGTGTGTGTCCGGGAGGCTCTTCACATCCCTGGCTTCTGAGCCCCGTGTGAAGCCACCAGCTCATTCTCCCTGCTCAGGAACCAATAGTGGAACCTGGCTGACTGCCCACTGGGCCTCTGGACCTAGAGGCAGCTCACATTGCAGCCTCATAAATAACTCAGCACCTCCCTCCTGCCACACCTCTGAGGAACCCTGTCTCCTGGACCAACGCCCCCCCCAGCCCCGCCTCTCCTGGCTTTAGGCTTCCACTCGCAGAGGCTCAGCGGCAACTGAGCAGGCTCCGGGGAGCTGGGGAGCTGGCGGGATGTCCTGCGCAGGGGGGCTTGGGCTCTCCCTGGGAGAGGCAGGTAGGGGAGGAGCCCGTGGGGATCCCTAGAGCTCTGGCAGCCAGAGCGAGAATGTGTCCAGGCAGGGGTCCCAGGAGTGGCCTCCGGCTTCAGAGGCCTTTAGGGGAGGAAGAGTAAGTGGGGGTGGCCTGGTGGAGATCCAAGTCAAGGTGGGGCTGGGAGAGCTGTGGGACAGGACCACAGACTATTCCGGGGTCCCCAGCCTAGAGCCCTGCTGCCTACAAACTGCCACCCTGAAGGTGGAGCTCCAACGAGGAGACACCCGAGAGGACAGAGACCTCCAGGACATTTCGGGGACAGGCCTCACCAGCTGGAGGCACTGCCCTGGGTAGGCCTGCATGGAAGTCCCCGGCAGCAGCAGAGACCTTCGCTGCCTGCAGCTGGCCTGTGTGGCCCTCGGCCTGGTGGCCGGCAGCATCATCATCGGCGTCTCCATATCCAAGGCTGCAGCTGCCGTGGGCGGCGTCTTCATCGGCGCTGCCGGGCTGGGTGAGCAGGTGCAGCGGGGCTGGGGTGGGGGCCTCTGGGGAGAGGAGCAGGGGCAGGGTCCTGTGAGGGAGGAGTGGAGGGAAGTCTGGGCCAGCAGGAAGGGCTGGGGGGAATGGAAGCTGGAGGCCTGAGCGCAGCCACAGGGGCCCAGGGAGGAGGGGGCAGGGACTGGAGGGCAGCTGGCTGTCACACTCCCTTCTGGCTGCTCCCTGGGTTCTTGGGTTTGCGTTGGGATTCTTCAGCCTGTGGTGGAGGGGGGCGGTTGATGGGGCAGGAGTTCCAGAGGATCCTCTCTTGAGCCAAGACAGGCTCCAACTCGAGGGTTTCCTCTTCTTTCCGGGTTTGTCTCCACCACAGCCCTGTCTGTGTGTCTGTCTGGGCCAGGCCCACCAATATCACCACAGTGATGCCGAGTGGCATCCCCCAACCCCCTGCCCTGAGCCGAAAGAAGAACCTGACGCACCGGGTGGGGGGCTCTGGGCACCTGCACCTGCTGATTCTGGCAGAAACTTGGTCTGGGGGTGACGCGGCGGTGGGCAGGGCAGGACTCGCTCTGCTGCCACCCCCTCCCCAGGTCTCGGTGGGGACGGGCTGAGGTGCTCCCAGTCTGCCCGAGGGGCCCTAGGGAGGGTGGGACGGGGGAGAGTTAGGGGTGGTAGCCACTCAGCCCATTTCCAGCAACCTGCTCTCTACCTGGTCAGGGCGGAGCCAGGGGCCTGGGGCCTCCACAGATAGCAGCCCCTTCGCCAGGCAGGTGCTGCTCCCCAGCCCTGGCTGCCTGTCGGGCTGTGCCGGGTGTGCCCCATGCACACACCCACAGGCTCACATTTACACATACAGTTCCAGTCCCTCCCATGCACACTCTGTGCCCTCCCATGTGTACTCATATCCTGCACAAACCAACCCCAGGCTTACAGCCCAGCCACACTCACCAGGCCCCTTCCCCATCACAGAACTCCCCTGTGTCTCTGTCCTCAGGGATCCTCATCTTGGCCTACCCCTTTCTGAAGGCTCGGTTCAACCTGGACCACATCCTGCCTGCCATCGGTGAGTCCTCTCCCCACCCCAGCAGACTCCTCTGCCAAGGGCTGTGCAATTGAGACCCTTGCTGTGTAAGTCCGCGACCCACTGTGCGGCTGGGTCGAGCCCACCAGCCCACATGTGAGACTGCTGCTGGCTGGCTCTGTTAGAGTCGCCGTGTGTGTGTGTGTGTGTGTGTGTGTGTGTGTGTGTTGTGCAGGCGTTGTCATGACTGCAGTGTGACAGAATTCAGCTTGCTGCTTGCTGCAAAGGTGCCTGAACCAGCTCAGAGAACCTAGAGTGTCCACCTCTCCTGAGAGATTTTCCCTCTCCCCTCAAGCCTCCAACATCTCCAGATAACTCCCTCTTCATCCCTGAGCCCCATAAAGACCCCCCCCATCTCCCTTAAGACCCTACAAACTCTGCACAGTTCCCAGCCTCATCTCAGCTCTCCACACAGAGACTCCCATCTCCATCAGTCCTGCAGGGCTTTGCATGTCCCAGTTCTCCTCAGGGCCCCCACCTCCCTAAAAAATCTGCCATCTTTTTCAAGGGCCCATTTCTTCTTTGCCTCCCCAAATCAGCCCAGATCATGTGAGAGACCTAAAAGAATGCAGTGGAACAAAGAGGAGGGATGGAGAACAGCAGGAGGGATGGAGATTAGATAGCAGGAAGGACTTCCTTTTCCAAGATGGGCTTGATCTGGGAATGGTTTATTAACCAGGGAGCTTGGGGTGGTCTCATCCTACAGGGAACCTAAGAATCCATCCCCATCAAGGGCCAGACCAGGGAGAAGGAAGATCCAGCACCAACGGCAATAAAGACGGTAAGTTCCAGAAATTCCAGAGTCCCTCTTTCACTTTCCTTCTCTGACTCTGTGGGGCCCAGGGAGCAGCCCTGCGGGGCATGCAGAAGGGGCTCCCCCAACGCAGAGCCAGTGTCATTGGGTAGTTCTTCACAAGTTACGAGTTACGTCAACTTGCTCCAAGCTGAACTGCTCACCTCTTGTTTGTCCTCAGGGCTCTGAATCATGCCCAGCAGGACACTGGGACAGGGGGACCTCACTGCCCCTCCCCCTCCTCTAGGTCCCCTAGGTCCCATGCCCCAGTTTATCCTCCCACTCCCCTCTCCCACATGGAATCCAGCTCTCTGAGCTGGTGCCTGAAGCTGGGCATCTCCTTGTCCCCCCATCCCCACACCCTGAAAAATTCCAGGGCAGGAGTTTCTCAAAGATGGCCCCAGCCCGGTCTCTGCCACCAGTAGTAGGATGCCTAACACTCAGCAAAATGTCCCATTCCAGACACTGTTCCAAGCACTTTACATATATTAACTCATTTAAGTCTCACGACAACCATGTGAAGGAGGTATTATAATGAGCTGCATTTTATATATGAGGCAGCTAAGGCGCAGGGTGATTAGGTGGCATGCCTGAGGTCACACAGCTAGGAAGTGGGGGAGCCAGCAGGCAGCTTTAGAGCCCTGCCACTACTGCTGTCCTCTTGGGGACTGGTCCTGACCATGGCTGCCTCTCTGAACTGGGCTAAAACTGCCCCTGGGACGCCCCTCTCTCCTCATTCTGTCCCAGCCCAGCCCTGGGGTCACTGGGCACTCTGATCCCAGGTCCCTTTAGGTTCCTCCGACCCTGACAGCTCTGTGGGGACCTGTCTACTAAGGCAGCCCTTGTCCCTGATCTCTCCCCCAGGAGCCCGCAGCGGCCTGTCCACCGTGAGCAGGACCCTGGAGAAGCTGAAGCCCGGGGGCCGGGGTGCTGAGGAGTCCTGAGGGCTGCCCCTGCCCTCCTTCCCTCGTGCCCTCCCTCCCTCTTGCCGCTGCCCCTGTCCCAGAGCCCTCCTGGCTCAGAAAATACAAACCAGAGATGATCCAGGCCCTGGAGCCGCCCTTCAAATGCACAGCTGCATTCACCAGCCAAGGCTCTTTGGAATGGATGCCACTGGCATGGGTGTGGCCTGAAACAGGTGTCACCAGAAAGCACTTTCCTTCTGCACTGTGGCTCAGCTTCGTTCCCTCTTTGATCTACTGGCTGGTTTCTCTGGAATTCAGGGCCCAGGGCCCTGACTACGACCAGGGTGCCCCAGCACTGTGCTTCGTCCTGGCTGGAGAAGTGGACCACAGGCCCACAGGAACCGTAGACAGGGACTCTGGGCCTGGCCCTGGGGCTCTGGAGCTCACCAGCCAGATAGAGAGGCTGGGCCACCTTTTCAGAATATCAAAATCTCCTGGGCAGTCCCTCAGGGACAGGCTCTGAGCAGCAGTGAAGCAGACAGAGGAATCTGAGGGGCTCCAAGGAGAGAGACTCACAGAGGGACAGACAACATGGCCTGGGGAGTCAGAGGAGGCGACTTCCAAGCTGAGTCCTGGGACTCTTGGTGTCTAAGCCCCCCACGCAGGGCCTCCAGTCCTCCCTCTTGCCCCATCCTCTCACTGCCTCCTGAACCAGTGAAACATTCCTGCCTCCAAGTCATGGGGTTAAGAGGGCCCTCCCTGCTCCTCTCTGCCTGTCCAGACTCCCCACCTTTTTAGGCCCCATTCAGAAAGTCCTCTCACCACACGCTCTCCTCATCCTCTTCCACTGGCCTCTCCCTTGACACCTCTGCAGGCAGGTTTGAAGTCTTCCTTCTCACAAAACCATTGTTAAGACCACTTACACATACTGAATGTTGCCCCTTTTCCAGTCCCTAGCATCAGGCAAGGCACACAGTAGGTGCTTAATAAGTGTTAATTGCTTAAATGTAATGTAAAAACAATTCCCCAGGCTTTCCCTGGAGAACCACTTCAGAGCCCCACCTACCCACAAGGTTTGGGGTGAGGAGGCCCCTGCACCCTCCAGGGGTAGCAGAGTTGTTTGACCTCTACAGAGACACCCACTCCATGTGGCCTCTGTCCTGGTTTGGTGAGCAGAAGGCAAGCTAGGAATAGTCTCATTCTTCCAGGATCCATGCTGATGACACCTCCTCTTGGAAGCCTCCCCTAACTTCACTGTGCTCCCATAGCCCCAGGCTTCCCTCCATCACAGCCCAGTCACACTGAGTGGCACTTGTCTATTTCCTGTCTTGAGAGTGGGAGCAGAGGGCCAAGCGCCCAGAAGGCACCTGGGATGTTGGGAAACCAAACCAATGAGTCTATCTCATTGTGCAGATGGGAGAACTGAGGCCCTGCAGGAAAGACCACCCATGGGGTCCCACGGTGAAAGGCCCTAAGCCAGGCCTTGCATCTGGTCTCCTATCTCTCCCCACCAAGGCTCTCGCTTGTCCTGTCCTCTGCACAGGCCACAAGGATCCACTTTGTGACCACAGTGGGACAGACCTCCATAAAGGGGAGAAATTTCACAAATGCTGGCCAGTTGTGGAGACTTTGCTTCCTCCAGCTGAGGGAAGTTGACTTCCTCTTTCCTTGAATGTCCCTCCTCTCTGCCTTGCACTTATTCCCTGCTCCTTCTCCTTTCCTTTCTCCTCTTCTTCAACATCATCATCAATAACTCAGGCCTGGTGGCCTTTCCTTGATCAGTGAGAAAATCCTTCCTCCTATCCATCTTCAGTCCTCACCTTGGTACCCCAAAGAGATGCCCAAGGGTGGGGGCTGAGGGTGGGGGGTGTGGACCCTGAGCTGTGGGGAGGCTGGTTCCCCACCCCCATCCACCATCAGCCCCTTTCAGCCATGATCTCCCCAAGGCAGGGCTACGGAATCCCAGATGCCTGGCAGGGCCAGGCACAGAAGAGGTGCTGGGGGACTGGAGTGAATAAATTAAGGAATGAACACATGTAAAGGCAAGAGCTATATCCACTGAGGAAGACTGGGTGAGGGTTCAAAGGACCCTGGAAACTGGGTAGGAGGGCTCAGGGCCTGGGCCTCGAGTTCCTCTCTTTCCAAACCCTGCTGTGGGCTTCCTGAAACCTCCTTCCTTCCAATTCAGATGAATGTCCAGATACATCTGCCCCAAGTGTACCTCCACACCCAATCTCCCCACCCCCTCCCCCGGTCACAGGAGTGGCCACGTGGGGACATGTGCCTTCTCGCCTTCCATGGTTTGAGAAAAGGTGAGGTTGGGCCAAGCAGGCAGAGTGGTACGGTAGGTAGTGTTAGGGAGACGTGCCCTCTCACTCTGAGCAGCAAAAGAAGCCTCCAGTATTCCAGCATGGGAGGGGGTGTGGACAGGGCCGGGTAAATGGACCCACCTCTTCCATCACTCTGTTCAACAGATGACATTGGTTCTTTCCAATAGCCATGCTGACACCTCAACTGTGTCTGGCCCTGGGCTGGGTGCTGAGGAACACAGCGGTGGACCAAAAGTGGACAATGCTTGGTCCAGGAAGCCCCCTTGAAGCCACATCCCTGCTGGGCCACCCTGGAGGAGGAAGTGTGCCCAGGCTGGCACTGGAGTCTACAGCTAAGACTCACATCCTAGTTCTGCCCTGCAGGGGCTGGAGCAAGAGGCTGCAGGGCCTTGAGCATGGGTTTCCTCATCTGCAAATGGAGGGTGGTTGTAGCACCTCCCTGTCAGGAGGAAGGTTGCCTGGCACATAGTCACAACAGGTGGGGTGTGTGAATGGATGAGTGAATGAACGAAGGCGGAGGCTGGAGGAGATGCTTTCAGCTGAACTCAGCGTCTGGAAAATCAGCACAGCAGACTTCCACCCAGTCCTCTCTCCAACACAGTCCAGCCTGCAGGCAGGCCTGCCCCCACCCCATGCTCCTACACATCCCACCAGGAGACAGTCACCCCCTAAGCGGGCTCAAGGCCACACCCTCTTCTAGGGTGCAGGATTGGTGGAAGTTGAATCGGGAAAGGGTGCTGAAATCAAGCCCCATCCCTGGAAAAAAAACCCTGATCCCATAGCTCCCGCCCAGGGCAGGTGCAGCAGAGCCCGTACAACACACACCCCTCGCCCAGCGTGAGTTGCAGTGTATCCACGCGGGGCTCTTGGAAGGTGTGGGCGGGCTAGGAGTTATTTGCAAGGGTGCTCGAGAACCGCGAAAGCTAGAGAAGGGAAGAAGGACGGCACGGAGCTGGAGAGGGGAGGTACGTGGTAAGAACCCCTTGTCTCCCCCCCACACACCCGCCCCCGCGACGCTCTGAAAGGGACTTCGGTGGTGGCGGGAGGCCGCTGGGGACCCGCGCAGGCCCGCGCTCCCGCCGCTGCCGCCGCCGCCACCGCCGCCGCCGCGGGGGATGCTCGGAGGGAGCCAAGCCCGAACCTGAGCGGGTCCCAGCCCAGGCTGGCCGTCCCCAGCCAGCCACCCACCACCAGCTCACCCCAGATCTCTGGGCGCTGCGTCCCAGCACCCGGCCGCCGCCGTGGGAGGGGGCGACCCCGCCGCTCCTCCCCCTCCGCCTGCCGCCTCCCTGGCTCCCGCCAGCCCAGCCCGTCCAAGTCCCGGGTCCAAGGAGCTGGCCCCGGGCGCTCCCCTGGCTGCCCTGGGCCGCCGGGAGTCCTTCCCTCCTGCCGGCCCAGCGTGCTCAGGGGCAGCGGGCCAGGACCCGCAGAGGAGTGTCCATCCGCTGACCGGCTCAGGCAAGTGAGGCTGCAGGAGTTGGGGGCGGATGGGGGGCGCGGTAGGGAACGTAGGAAATACATCGTCCAGTTCTGAACTCCGGAGTGCCCAGACAAGGGGTCAGGGACCTGTGGCCTTGAGAAAACAGGTGAGAAAGACAGAAGGATGCAGGAGAAGGGGAGACACGCGGCATGGACAAGCTGCCCTGGGCCCCTGGGGCCCAACCTGGTCCCTCCCTGCCCTTAATTCGGTGAGACTCTGCCCCAGAATCCACCTGCACCCTCCACCCTCCGCCCTCCACCCTGCACCCTCCACACTCCACATCCTCCCCAAGGCCCAGAGTGAGGAGGGAGTCAGAGAGGAGTGGGCACCGGGCAGCTTCAAATCCAAGAGCCTGCTGAAGCCAGAAAGGCAGAAGACAGACGTGGTGGCCCTCTGGCCAGTGCTTCCCTTCACTATTTATTCAACCAGCATTCACTGGCATGCGGGGCAGGCACCCCACTGGGGACACTGCAACCAAGTGGACAGAATCCTGGTCCTCAGGGGCCTGCAGACCTGTGAGCAGGAGTCATGGTGTCATCGGGACTTTGGGAGCTCTGATCTGGGGAGTTTCAGAAATCTGAAAGAAGGAAGCAGCATCCCAGCTGCACTCTGAAGGTAGAGCTGGGGTTAGGCAGGGGAGAGAAAGTAGAATGAGGGCTCAGGCACAGGCAGCGCACGCACCTGCCAAGCAGCTCCCCTAGAGAAAATCCAAGGGGCTGCCTGGACCCCCCAGGCTGGGGCCACAGAGTGAGGATCCCAGGATTCTAACAGCAGGAGAGAGGAGAGAGCTGCTTAGCTGTGACACTGGGGGTGTGGGGAAGGGATGGGTTTGAGAGGGGCTTGGAGGGGAGGGTCTGGGGTTGTGGCATGGAGCTCAAGGTGAAGCCCTCAGGGTTTTCTGGCTGGGGCTCTGTGGAAGAAGGTGAAATTTAAGGAAGCTGTACCCCAGGGGAAGAGAATGTTTCCAGGAGGGGGCTTCAGCAGGGCCCAGGCTGTGGAGAGGTCAAGGCAGCTAAGGGCTGAACAGTGTTCATTGAATTCAGCAGCAAGGAGCCCGCTGGTGGCCTTGGTGAGAGCAGAATTTGAGCATGATGGGACAGAAACCAGATTGGAGTGGATACTCTCAAGAAGGAGGTGAAGTACAGTGTAGACGGCACTTTCAAGAAGGGGAGAGAGTGTTAGCTGGAGGCAGATGTGGGGTTGAAGGAGAGTTTTGTTTTAAGATGGAAGAAGCTGGGGTGCCTCCAGGAGGAGCTGTGGTCCAGGGAGGGGCATGGGGAGCTCTGTCCGGGAAGGGGGAGGTTCCCCCAGCATCCTTGAGGGCCCAGTGAAGCCAGAGACGTGGATGCACAGAGGGCCTGCACTGCCCTGCTGTGGTTTTCATGTCTCCTACAAGGCTTAGTGATTTGGGCATAGACTTGAGGAGGCAGAAAGCTGGACCAAGGCAAGGTTGAGGCTTTGCTGGCAGCCTTGGCAGAAGGACACAGGGACAGGTTAAGCTGCAAGAGAGTAACTGCAGTAAGTCAGTGTGGGTTCTCGGTGGATGCAGAAAGAGGTGGAAGCCAGAGGATGGTGGAGGAAATGTAGAGTTTCAGGGACTGCATGAGATCAGAGACCTGTTACAGCAAGAGGCGGTGCGGAGTCACAGTGAAGAGCACAGACTTAGGAGACAAACAACCTAGGTCTGAGTCCTAGCTCTGCCGTGTACTACCCCGTGTCTGTGACTTTGGGCAACTAATCTAACCTCTCAGAGCCTCTATTTCCCCATCTGTAACATGGGGACAGATGGCAATAATGCATATCAAAGGCTTAAAGCTATGTTTGGTGCTGTACAAGTGTGTGTATAGGGATAGCAATGAGGTCACAGCCGAGACTAAGAGGTCTGGGTATCTCGGAGGTGGAATGGTTCAGGGTGATAACAAGGTGCTAAGGTCCTGGAAGTGACAAGGGGGAGGGTGGTCAAGGTGGAAATGGAAGAATTGGAGATGAGGAGTCAGGGCACTAGGAGGGCAACAGGTGTGTGGTCATGTAAGAGATGCTGAAGCCCCCAGGGAGGTAGGACTTAGGCTGGAGGGGAGAGTGGATCTAGTCCCACAGTCTTGGGAGGAGGTGGACAGGAAGGGCAGTTCCACTCCAGCTGGGCTGAAGTCCTCTCCCTCCACCCTTCCTGCTGGCCCCAGCAGTTCAGTTGCTTAGGGTGGAGGCAGAGGCCCAGAGTGAGCCTGGGAATCCCAGTCTGGGATTCCCATACATACAATCCCTGCTGGGGACTGTGGCCTGAGGAGTCTGGTGGGGAAGTCTAAGCACACCAGGAAGGACCAGAGAGGAGCAGAAGGCCCCACGGCAGCTGGGGTCACCTTTGCCTGCACAGGTGCAGAGCCTTGGTCTCATGAACACAGAGCTGTGATTGCTGCAGAGAAGGCTGCAGAGTCCTGTGTCACTGGGGCCCCTCAGCTGTGCTGGAAGCCAGAGCCTGCAGGGCCTACAGAGACGTCTAGACCAAACTCCCACTCTACCAATGACAAAACTGAGCCCCCTGAGGGGACCAGTGAGTGCTTGGCTGTTACAGGCATGCAGACCCTCTGTGAATGGGAGGGTACCATCGGTCACCTGAAACAGACTCCTGTCCCCTGTCACCTCTTCCAGGGGCTCCTGCTCTCAAGCACCTCCCCTCCACCCCCACACTTCCAGGCGAGACGTCTCCAGAGGAGCCTCTGCTGGGCAGCAGCTCAACTCCGGCAGATGGGCAGGCCACTGACGGGTGCCTGCAGCTGTCAGTGTGTAATGCCCGGTCACCGCGTGTGCATGTTTGCGTGTGTGTCTGTCTGTGCGTGCGCATGTGCTCAGGAATGAGGAGCCAGACAGAGGCTGGAAAGCTACGCCTCGGGCTTCGTCTTCACCCCTCATTTCCAGCTTGGGGATGCGAGTGTGTGTGAGTGTGTGCACACACGTGTGCATGTGTCTGGGGTGGGGAAGGGATTGGCAGCTCTCTGGGCTGTGGGGAGGCAGAATTCAGTTGGCAGAAGCTGAGAGCTCCCAGCTGGCAGTGAGTAATAGTGATGTGGGAGGTCGCTGAGGATGCGGGTGGAAGGGAGAGGGCTTGCCCAGACTTTCAGGGACTGCGGGAACAGGAGGGCTAAGACTAAGAGGAACAGAGGAGTTCACAGTGAGGGGTTAAGACCTCAGACTGAGCAAATGAGCCACTCAGTCTCCCACGGAGGACAGAGGGCCAGGGTGCCAGTGGCAGATGT